CCCTTTCCTCAACCACAACTGAGAGGCCGCGTTCTCGAGCTATTGCATCTCTTCCTTAAAAACTCAAAAGGGGAGGGGCTCTCGATGCTCTGGGAACTGGACAGAGGTTCGGGAGGTCCGTCTCAGAGCTGCACACACCGCGGCCGAGGGAGGGCGACAAGCAAAAGAGAATATCCCCACCAGAGGCACAAAACCGCAGGGAGAAGGGAGAAAGACGTACCTGTTTGTCTCTCTCGAATACTAGCCGCTGCAGCCGCCGCCATCTTGACTCCCACCACCCACTGCCGGGTTGGCGAAAAGAACCCGAAGATTACGTGGCCGCCGCGACTGCCCCGGAAGCAATGCCCAGAGGGGCGGGCCCAAAGGAGGTTCCTGGTGGCCGGATCCCGCCTCCTTTAGCTCTTTTCAGAAGTTGGAGACGCAGTGGGGTTAGTACCTAAACACCTAAACACCTGGTGGATTAGTACCTGAGTACCTGGTATTTACTTTCCCTATGCGGAATAGTATGAACTTTTATCCTGTCTAGTCAAGCCACAGCTTCCCAAATGGTAGCTGCGTTGAATAGAATTTTTAGGGTATGAGCGTGGTGTAATGCTAAGAACCTAATTAAATACTAAACTGGTCGTTTACAGTTCTCCTAAGTGGTGAGAATGCTATAGGAGGGTTTAAAGATCACTGGACTAAAGTAAATGAAGCTCCAGGAACAAAATAGACGTTTAAATACTGGCTCCTTTCTCCCGTTTCCCAGTGCAGGAGAGGTCTCCCCTTTGACTCTTTCTCGGAAATAGGCAGATTTGGAGCACTGCTCAATCTCATCTTTTAAGCAAAATGGTCTAGTTTTATGGTGTTTTGCATACATGAACACAGGAGCTACGAAGATGCAAAATGGCAAACTGGTATTCTCTTTTCCTTTTAGTAACTGCAAAAATCACATGGCGGGGGTCGTATGGTTAGTGGACAGCTGGTTTTTATTGTACACTTGAAACCACGTGATGACGTATCCAATATTGACGTTATTTTATGTAACTTTTGTCTTTATCAAGGTATAATTAACAAATTTGAAAAATAAAGTTTACATTGTGATGATCTGATATATATACTGTGAAGTGTTCCCCCCATCTAGTTATCACATTCATTACCTTCACATAGTTATCTTTGGGTGACATTTAAAACCTGCTCAGTAAATTTCAATTATACAATACACTTACCAACTGTAGTCATCATGTTATATATTAGGTCTCAGACCTTATTCATCTTCTAGCTAAAAATTTTATGTTACTCCATCAAATGACCTACATGTATAATCTTAAAAAAAAAAAAAAGTCAAATTCATGGAAAGAGAGGAGTGATTACCAGGGACTAGTGGGCCGGGAAAATAGGAAGAGGTTGATAGAAGGTTATGAACCTACATTCTTTACCTTTAAGAATTGCATCCTCTTAGGTTTCATAGCTAATTGGCATATTCACTAAGAAATAAACTGGAACATCTCCTATTTTATTCAGTATTACTTTGAAGGAATTGCCAATTATCCAGGTGTACTGTAATTAAACAGAAATAACAATTCCTACCCTAGGGGAAAGTTGTACTTCATTGTTTGTCTTCATGGAATGTAGAATATATAGCCTTTACCATCTTCCAGTATCTGAGATCCCCAATCTTGTTCATTTGTATACTTTCACTTTCAAATGCAAATCTACCAGTTAACCATTTCAGTTCTATCACAGACTTCTTCCCAAGACAGAGTCACAGAAATGATACAAAGTATCCTGACCAAGCAGTGCACATAAGGTGAACAAAAACATATAAAATACTATAGTCCACAGAATGATTACAGTAGACAAACAGAAAATAGATTGTTAAGGCTGAGATTGAGAAAGGAATGTTACCCATTTTTAGAATCAGAAAGAATCAAACTATGGCTTCAGAGTGTTAACTTCTAATTTACTGTAGCCTGGCTCTACCTATCCAGATTTTCTGCTTAAATAATTTATTCTGGCAAACTATTATTTTACTTTAGGAATTAGTTTTAAGTTTAACACAGAATATCTCAAAATGGCTTATTCAAGAGGTTCTCAGGTGTCAGTCTGAGAGGATTACAGGATCTCTCAAATATGAAAAGGATCTTGTATCTAGTACTGTCAGAATCTTAACCTCAAAAAATCCTAACAAGTTATTTAATTCAGTTCATATATGCACTTCACATTTAGTAGAATGAACATGTTTAAGAAAGTTCATTGTAATTATCATGTTTTCTGGTTACATCTGAAATTGTTAAAAAAAAAAAAAACGGGAAAATAGGCTGACCCTCACCTAGCATAATACCTGGAAAAGCTAAGAGTCAAAATGAGAGCTTGAAAATTAGGTCTTTTCAAAACAATCCAATTTTTCTTAACTACAAACACATTCAAGTAATCCATTATTCAGTGTGTTCTTATATTCTGTATTGCATTACTTAAAGCATGAACAGTAGTTTAATAGCCTATTGTAAAACTAACAATGAAGCATGTGATAATCCCTATATAAAAGATACATTATCATAAAAGAATCTTGTTATAATCATTTTTAAAAATTTTTTAACATTTATTCATTTTTTAGAGACAGAATGTGAGTGAGGGAGGAGCAGAGAGAGAGGGAGACACAGAATCCAAAGCAGGCTCCAGGCTCTGAGCTGTCAGCCTGACACAGGGCTTGACCTCATGGACTAGACCACGAGGTCATGACCTGAGCTGAAGTCGGACGCTTAACCAACTGAGCCACCCAGGCGTCCCTGTTCTAATAATTTTCTTATGATAAATACTAAAGGGAAAGTCATGGAGAAAACTTATTATAATCTTCTTTACTTAGCATTCAGTAATGAGTATAAAATATAAAAGTTCCAATAGATTACACAAATTTAGGGAAAAAATTACTAAAACTTTTAGGATAAAGTAGAAGCCAAAGTGAATTCTCAGGTTAGTAATCAAATGAAAGCTTTTTACTTGACCCAAACAAACAATGGCTTGTTCATAATATGGAAATTAAATATTACAAAGTATAAAATCATAACCCAGTTTCTGATATTTTAAAGAAATTTTAACCTTAAATACTAAAACACTAAAGTGACTAAGTACAAGAATAGTAAAGAATTGTACAAAAGGTCTTCAGATGAAGTTCCCATAACAAAAGTCTTAAAAAATGTCTAAAAACAATGAATTTAAAACTAACCAAAGACCATTAGCAGAATAGGTGACTATGATTTTCCTCAATATTGAGACCAATAGAAAACAAACTTGAAATATATGGCATTTTGATGATTCAAACAGTTAAGAAATACGAATACACATTTAAGGTTTCATAGCATAATGATGAAATTCAATGTCAGTGAGAGTTGTGCACTGGCTATAACAATGAATAGAAAAAGGAAAAAGAACAATCACAATATCAACTATTTGACATAGTAACACTGCAGAAAATAAATATAGGATTCTCTACTATGCCTTTACTATACAGATTAGCCTAAAAATCAAATTAATGAAACATCCTTAAACCCAGAAGATGCTTTGCAGTGAGTGTACTTCACTTTAAAACGTGAATATCCTAAATTATTATTTACATCATACCTTATCTGTAAGTCCCTGTCTACACATAACATAGTGAAATGAGGAACTGAAATACTGTTTCTAGTTATCGCCAACCAAGGATATTGCTTCCCCACTACCCTACCTTACCCAAAAACTGTGTGAAGTTTCATTACTTTTAATCATTACTTTTAATTACCACTGCAGGACAAATTAACACTATAAATGACCAGAAAATAGCTTTAATTAGGTTTTTTGGGTCATATTGGTTTAAAGGTTTTGTAAGTTTTATAAAATCTAGGTAGGGCTGAGAAATATCCAATTTATCATCACATTTAGATTAAAAGTTACATGGCAAATTTGAAGTTTATATTAGATAACCAAGCTTTTGTTAATCTTTTAATTACTTTTGATAATTTAATAATTCAAGACAAAGCCATGCCTTGTATAAAGTTCTTAAAAACTTCAAGTTAAAATGAAACTAATTTGCTGGGTCTGTCAGTAAGTGTAACAAAGGAAATTATATTAAGATTATGTTTTAGTTTTCCTTTGGTATTAAGAGATATATTACCAGTATCAAATCAATTCTGTTATTTTCCTTTAAAAAATAACAAAAATTACAGGATGTCTTGGGGTGATTATGACAACAGTTGATATCTTCTTTGTGTATTAAAAAGTGTGATTAAAACCAACTTCTCAGGGACTCCTGGGTGGCTCAGTCGGTTAAGCATCCAACTTTGGCTCAGGTCATGATCTCATGGTTTGTGAGTTCGAGCCCTGCATCAGGCTCTGTGCTGACAGCTCAGAGCCTGGAGCCTACTTTCGAGTCTGTGTCTCCTTCTCTCTGCCCCTCGCCCACTTGTGCTCTGTCTCTGTCTCTCAAAAATAAATAAATGTAAAAAAAAAATTTAAAAAGAAAACCAACTTCTCATGAAGATTTACCTCTCATCCAATTTACTTTGGTGGAAAACCAATTTAATATTTGATAATAGATTAGGGACATAAAACTTTTCCGCTTTCTTCTTTTGCAAGAACAGAAATATGGGGACATGACTATGGGACTATATATCTTTAGTGGGACTATGTATATGATTTTTTTACTTTTAGTAACAAAAGTCTTTGACTTTCAGTAACATTAACAAAGTTTAAAAGGTAAGGAAAGGTAAATAAAGAGTTTACAGTAAGAGACAATGAAACACTGTAGTTAATTCTGCATGGTGAGATTAGAGTGGGTTTTTCATTCTATTTGCATTTCTTTCTTATGTGTTTCTACATTGCTTTATAATGGCAGTATCTTTCAAGAGCAAAGGAGATAAATGTTTAGCACAATGGTACCAGCTTACCTATCATACAACCATCTTGATAATAAATAACTGTCAAATAGTCAAACCTACCACATGGCAATCCACAGAGATAACTGAGGCACCCAAAATGATTCTGGATCAGACTTAATATGGTTTAATACCACACAGGGGATACAGAAAAAAAAATCTTATGATTAAAGCCAAGGCTTTAAAGAAGACACTTTCTTAGGTATTTTCAACTGTATTTTATCTGCCTGAGAAGTGTTCTTAAGACTATATGGAACGTCCATAGATTCTAGAATATTTGTGCAATTCTGCTTTTCATATAATACTTCCCATTAGGCATAATCTAATTGCAGTGAGGGTCTGTTTTAATATAAACCAGTAATCTAAAAGCATTTTTAACCAATTTAGTGCCATCCTAGGAAAAAATACTTATAACACATTCCCCAGAATATATGCCTTTGATTTATATAACAGGATTTATCAATTAGCTTTTCTATTTAATGCTTTAAAATAAAATAAGGAATAATTTGAAAATTACGTAAAACTAGAAAAACCATTGTGGCATTCTATAGCTAATACTAATTTGCAGAAATAGTGAATACAACTTTTTTCCCCATATATATATATACACACACATATATATACCATGCTTTTATACTTGAAAAAAGTCTGTACAGCTGTTTTAAACTATTTATATTAAAGTTTATGAAGCATGTATTTTAAGAAAATAGAAGAATATCATCAACTTTGACTAGTATACTTTAACAAAAAAAGTTTTTAGCTTAAACGGCCAAAACATTCCTTTACGTTCATTATCATAAATTTTATTGGGCCAAGAAGCTGACAAGTTTGTTCAAAAATGATGATGGTGATTTCTGAAATAAAACGTTATCAATAGCAGCTTTTGAAGAAGCATATCTTTTTTCAAAACATTTAATGTCCAATGTAGTGAGAACTTTCTTCCTTTTCTAGTCTTAGAGTGTTTCTTATGGCAAAGTCCATATTTTGTTGAAATTCTTGGTATGTATTGGTGATTGGAAGAGCTAAACAGTTATTACACTTGTTTCCAACAGGAAAATCCATATGAAGACACTCAATTGAAGGAGTGGGTTTAAATCCAGCAGGTGGAATGGAACTGCAACCAGTTGCAAAAATAAGAATGTCTTCCATTGTTATTGCAGATTTACCATCTGAAAAGTTTACCAAAAAAGAAAAATCCATATTATATATATTGCTATGATCATAGACTCTTTCCCAACTAGACAGGAAATATTTAAAGGCAGAGACTCTAACATCTTAGACAAACTAAATCATCACGTCAAGTGTAGTAAGAGGAAAACTGTATATCCAATAAATGTTTATTTGTACCTAAAAGGAGAACTCAGAAAATCATTTAGTTGAACTACTCATTATATATTTGAATGCCTTCTCTAATATAAAATTATCATATAATACAAGCGGTTCAGTGGGCATGATAATAAAAATAATTTTAAACCATTTGTAGATCATCCTTATTTAATAACATAGTTCATTAAATGCAGAGAGAAAAAATAAATGGTGTAAAACAACTGAACAACAACCTACCTAAAAAGAATTTCAACTAAAGTTTAAATCCTTCCCACTCAATTTAAATGGAATGATTTTACATAGCTAGTGTACAATGATAATTATCATTTTCATAGCCCTAAGCAGTGGATGAAATATAATTCAATTTCACTTAACAGTGAAAAAGATGAAATAGATGATTAGTTTAAACGTTACTCTATGCTGTGGCAATTACCTATTTATTTTTCAAGTTTTTATTTAAATTAGTTAATTTACATATGGTGTAATATCAGTTTCAGTAGTAGAATTTAGTGATTCATCGCTTACATACAACACCCAATGCTCATCACAAGTGCCCTCCTTAACACCCATCATCCATGTAGACCATCTCATTGCCCACCTCCCCTCCAGCAACCATCAGTCTGTTTTCTATAGTTCAATCTCTTATGGTTTGCCTCCCTCTTTCTTATTTTTTCCCTTTCCCTATGTTTATCTGTTTCGTTTCTTAAATTACAGAGAAGAGTGCCTTTCACCTCAAATTATCTAGAGGAAAATAAATTGCAAAATTTCTTTACTCTGTAATCTTTCCTTATCATTTTTAACTCAGTCATATAAACCCGTCTTGAAATAAATTTTGTAAATGTGGAGTTAGCAGATGAAAAGTCTTATCACCAAAAAGCAAAACTCAAAGAAATAAACTAATATACTAAAAACAAATGTTCTAAAGCAGTTAAAAAAATAAAACATCCACATACCCTCAACAGCCTGTAAGTAACTGTTCCAAAATCCCAAAGCCTGTACATCAGATAATGTGCGTACTGTAAAAAGATCACTAAGGATTTTTGCAGAAAGAGTCTCAGGTTTATGACAGAAGATGCTACAAAATGCTTCTGGGTAAGTCTGAATTTTCTCCAAAACACCAAGAGTTTTCAGACCCTGCTTAAAACTTAAGAGAAATAAACAATAAGCCAACTTTGTACATGTGTGTGATATTGCAATTACAAATTAACATTCCTAGGTAATTTACTACCACATATACTTACATATGAGGAAAAAGATTCAATCATATAGATATACATGATATGATACTTCTCAATCAGTAACAAGCAGGTATATTAATATAAATTGAATATTTTATCTGCTCACATTATTTAAGCTTATAGACTAGTGTTGAAATTAAGCTAACAATATTTTAAAAGGAAAAAAGTAGACGTGAAGTATTTTACACTGCAAAGTTAGTTCGTACAAGAATAAAGTTGTCTGGAGATTGCAAAGAAAAAGAGTAGTAACAAATCTTAGCCACATAAAAAATTAAAAATATGTACTGCTAAAAAGAAACTTAACAAAGACAAAACAAAGTGGGAATATGTTTGTTATACACATGAAAGAAAACCAATTTCTCTAATATACAAAAAATACAAATCATTTTTCTGAAAGAACAATCTAACAGGCAATTATCTAAATATGAAAGGATAAATAACAAAATACAAGTAAACTTTTTAAAATGCACATTTAAAAAAAATTTTTTTTAATGGTTTATTTATTTCTGACAGAGAGAGAGGCAGCGTGAGCTGGGAAGGGTCAGAGAGAGAGGGAGACACAGAATCTGAAGCAGGCTCCAGGCTCTGAGCTAGCCGTCAGCACAGAGTCCAACACGGGGCTCGAACCCACGAACCGTGAAATCATGACCTGAGCTAAAGTCAGATGCCCAACCGACTGAGCCACCCAGGCACCCCAAAATGCACATTCTTATTAGTAAGGAAGAATGGAGATATATTTGTCTATCAGACTGAGTAAGCCCTATCTTTGACTCTAGATCCCCTATCCACCTCCTTAAGTACCTGCTACAGATTCATCTCCTTTTCTATTGGCTTGTCCTCAAGAGCACAGAAATGTGCTTATCTTTCATCTTTAAATAGAAAAAAATTCTTTCAACCCCACCTGTTTTCCTTTCAAAGTAGGTGGTCAAGTAGGAGACCACCCACTCAACAGATTTATCTACATTCACTATCTTCATCTGCTAATTTCCTATTCACTTTTATTCCATTCCTGTCTGTATCTGAGGAAAAACTGTCCTAAGTTCATGAATAATCTCCTTCCAAGGCATCAGTCTTCTGGTTTCCCTTATTTCTCTGGCCAGATCTTTTCAGTCTCTTACAAAGCTTTGTCTTCCTTATTATTTTGCCCTAATTGTTGCTGTTTCTCCCTCACTGATCTGCATCATGGCCAATTTCTCTTCTCTCTGACCCTCTCCCACAGCAGTATTTAGCAGGTATACACTCACTTATCACTATAAAATCTATTACCTCCAGCCTAGAAATATATCCAACAGGCTAATAGTTACCATATATTCCAAGCATCCAAACTTATTAAGTCCAAAAGAAAGTTAATTAGCTTACTACCAGAATCTGAACCATAATTGATAGTTTATACTTCTATTATCCATCAAATTAGTATAGCTAAATCTAAAACAGTCATCCTTAAGAACTCCCTCTTCCATTCCTTATTAACCAAATCCTATGAATTTCCTTTTCTGAAATCCCCTTTATCTGCTCATTTCTCTGTATACCCCTCTACCACCCTATTACAAACCCATTTGCAGAGGAATTGTACCAGGTGTGCAAATTCCCAAGTTCATTTTCATGCTCTAGCTCTAGAGATGTGCCAGAAATAAACCCCAGTGCTGTCAATCATCTTGATATAGACTAAATGGAGTCCTCCCCACCCCATTAAGTCTACACCCTATTCTCTGGAATCTATGAATGTGATCTTATTTGGAAAAAAGGTCTAAGTAAATATAATTAAAGATCTTGAGATCATACTATCTAGACTACTTGCACTGGCTCTGAATCCAATGACAAGTGTCTTTATAAGAGACAGAGAGTAAAAGGGCATGTGATATAGATTCTCAAACTATAAGTATTTTCTACTGTGGAGTGATCTCCAGAATATAGTGCCAATTTAAAAACATGACTAGAAAAAAGAGTGGATGGTATGTTACTGTTTATCTAATAAAAGAAATTAGTGCACATTCACACAAATATTTATCTGCTACCATTAAAAAAAACCCCACAAATAATAGAAGGATAAACAATGAAAGTCACTAAAATGATTACGTCATAACTGGATGAAAAGTGGATGTGATAAAGAAGAAAGCTATACCTCTCTGAATACAATTGGTATCATAGAGCTGAGTTCTTTTTTTTTTAAACTATTTATTTTGAGAGAGAAAGAGCGCCCAGGGGAGGGGCAGAGAGAGAGAGAGAGAGAGAGAATCCCAAGCATGGTCTGTGCTGTCAGCACATAGCCTGATGAGGGGCCTGAACTCATAAACTGTGAGACCATGACCTGAGCTGAAATCAAAAGTCAGACACTTAACCAAGTGAGACACCCAGCTGCCCCTGAGCTCTGTCAATATACTTTCATTATACATTAGACTTTGGAACCATGCAAATATTTGACATTATTTTAAAATAAAACAAAATTTTTAAAAATCACAAAAAATAGAGGTACCTGGGTGGCTCAATCCATTAAGCATCTGACTCTTAATTTCAGGTCATGATCTCACAGTGGTGAGATCAGCTTCATGTTGAGCTCTGCACTGAGCGTGGTGCCTACATGGGATGCTCCCCCCTTCTCTCTCTGCCTCTCCCCAACTTGTGCCCATTCCCACCCTCTCTTTCTCAAAAGAAATAAACATTAAAAATAACTATCATTAAAAATAAAAAATGAAAATAAAGTGTATATTCAGTTAGTAGTATAGAAACAGAAAAACAGAATAAATATTCCAAATGTTTTTAAAAAACAGTAATTTGACTACACAGACCTAGAAAAATAATGTTAACCTATTTTCAATAATCATATTATTGGTGATAATGTTATTCAGGTTTTTTTTTTAATGTGTTTATTTTTGAGAGAGAGAAAGAGCATGAGTGGTGGAGGGGCAGAGAGAGAGAGTGAGGGAGGAAGGGAGACACAAAATCAGAAGCAGGTGCCAGGCTCCAAGCTGTCACCACAGAGCCCAATGCGTGGTTCGAACTCATAAACTGAGAGATCATGATCTGAGCCAAAGTCAGATACTCAACCGACTGAGCCACCCAAGCACCCCTAATGTTGGTAATGTTATTTGAGACTATTATTTATAAAATGTGGAATAAATCAAGTGAGTTATTATTTCATACTTTAATTCTATGTTGATAACTAAGATTCTCAACATGGAGCAAAGAAAAAGTTAAAAATCTTGCAGTAGTGAATTTGAAGTATCAGTAAAACTCAAGATGTTTTTTTACCTTAAAAAATGAACTGAAACCAAATCAAAACAGCCCTATATTTCCTAGTTTGGTTCTAATGAAAAGGCTTAAAAACAATGACTAATTCTGGCAAAAATGAGCATCCAGATTATAGTTTTCAAATACCATTCCCCAAAGAAACAAAGATTCCTTAGTCCAAAATGCAAAAAATGAGCCTGAAACACCTCATTATACCACACAGCAAGAAAGCTTTCAAAGAACAATAAGGTCAACATCAGAAGAACTCAAGAGAGGTGACTGGATAGTTCAGCCAGCTGAGTGTCCATCTTTCAACTCGGGTCATGATCTCAAGGTTTTGTGAGTTTAAGCCCCACACTGGGTCACTGCTATCAGCTCCAAGCCCACTCCAAGTCCCTCTCTCTTCTTGCCCCTGTCTGGCTCACGCTCATACAGTCTCTCTCTCTCCCTCAAAAATAAAGAAACATTAAAAAAAAAAACTCAAAAGGAACAAAAGAAGATTTACAATGGCCAAACATGGAAACAATTAGAACTTTAGTAAGGCTAGTAGGTATAATGGTTTTGAACACATCAAATATATTTAAATCTATGGTTGACAAAGGTAGGTGAACAAAACTGGCCACAGGGTGACTGATAATTATTAGATCTGTGTGGCGATTACATGATGTACCAGAGGCTGCTTACTTTCATATGTATTTTATGACACTAGAAAAAATGTGAGAGTTCAACTGTAAGTTTTCAAACTTCTTTTAAGGGTGACTAGAACAAAAAGTTTGAAGACCAGTGTTCTAAGCTAATGAAGAACAAAACTCACACCTACCTTGTTAATCAAAGAATGGTTAGTACTTATTACCCAGCAGACAATAGGTACTCAATAAATACTTATTAAATGAATGAGCAGAAATGGAATAGTTGGCTTATATGGTAAGAAACTTAAAATATTCTCTATTTAGAAAAGTAATTATAAGTTGAGATAATGATGACTTTTCCTACCAAGGCATCAGACATTTACACATTTCCATATAAAACAGAACAGGTAACTATTCTTAAAACATTAGTTTTAAAGCACTAGTTAAAATAGCTTAAATTTTTATCAAATCTCACAAGACAATCACTTTACACATGTAATTTGAGAGAATTACATATAAAATAACTTACCTTTCAAAGGGTGCTTGGACTCTCTTAATTACATGGTAAACTAGTATATCTTTTGCTAACATATATTTGTCACTTATTGATGTTATAAGTCTTAGACACCCAATAAGCTCTAGGTAGTTATAGCATTCATTTACTATTGAGTTTAAGTCAGCCACTGTTGTTGCAGTATTTACCTATAATGAAGAACATAATGAAGAAAATATACCCAGTATATTCATTTACTTGTGAATGATATTTACATTTTTCAAGTGACACTTATTACTTTATACTTTAGAGACCACCACAGTGAAAGTCTATCAAGAATTCTTTTTCCAGAATAAATGTGTAACAATCTAGTTTAATAAAGTGTATATTTCTGCCTTCAAGAAACAGAGTTTCTTTATGCCACTTTAATATAGGAATTTATTTACATAGGAGGCAATAATTGATACAGAACAGTTACATAACATGAGAAAGGCAAATGAGATAACCTGAGATTTCATGAAAGAGAGAGTATCAACTAAGACTTTTAAAAAGAGAGAAAGAATCAAAAGAGTAGTTCAGGGAACAATATAAACAAAGAAGTTCTTGACCATTTATGTGCCGGACACTTTTGTATAGGCTAGCTCTTTAACAAAGTTACACAGGGAAAGAAAGATTAAATATAGGAAGCAGTCAGGGTGCCTAGGTGGCTCAGTTGGTTAATTGTCTGCCTCTTGATTTTGGCTCAGGTCATGATCTCATGGTATGAGATGGAGCCCCACATCAGGCTCTGCACTGATTGTACAGGGCCTGCTTGGTATTCTCTCTCTCTCTCTCTCTCCCCCCCCCTCCCTCGCTATAAACAAACTTTTAAAAACACAATAGGAAGCAGTCAGTAGTCTATTTGAATAGAAAATTTCCTTTTTATTTCTTCTTTCCAAAAAACCTTTCCCAGAGATTTACATGATTTCCTTCATTCATTTCAGATCTCTGCTGAAATCCCAGAAGTTTTTCCTGACTGCCCTCATCAAAATACTACTTTCACACTCAGAGACTAACAGTTGGGTAAATATTACCTTATGCCCCCAAACCCAACTCCCTGAGTTTTAGTTAGGCATACAGCCAAACCTTCCTTACAGCTCAATGTGGCTATATGTGATTAAGAGCTGTGCAATGGAATGTGAGTGTCAAACTTCTCTGAACTCTATTTCTATTTCTTCCTTTAAGAGCAACTTTCATGTAGACGAAGACAATATATTAAGTGATTACACAATGAGAGGAGGAAATCCAATTCCCTAGATGACTTTGGTGTGTCATAACTATACCACTAAAATAGAAACCATTTGAAAAGCCAGAGACCATTTTATACTTTGTGAACCATGGGGTGTCTGTTGCAACTACTCAACTCTGCCACTATAGTTTGAAAGCAGTCACAGACACACAACAGGAAATGGGTATGGTTGTGTTCCAGTAAAACTTTTATTTATACACTTTGGGGATGAGCACTGAGTGTTATGTGGAAACTAATTTGACAATAAACTATTTGTAAAAAAAAAAAAACTTTTATTTATAACAAAAGAGGCAGAAGGCCATACTTTGCCAAATTCTATGCTAAAATCTAGATAACAAGTTTTAGAGATATGAATATCTGTTGGGGGTCTCTGTTAGAGAAGCTAAGCCTAAGATCCAAATTATTACACCCCAAACACTATCTCCTCTCTTATTCTGTTTTACTTATTTTTTTAATGTTTATTTATTTTTGAGAAAGAAAGAGAGACAGACTATGAGTGGGGGAGGGGCAGAGAGAGGAGGAGACAGAATCTGAAGCAGATTCCAGGCTCTCAGGTTAGCACAGAGCCCAATGTGGGGCCTGAACTCACGAACCATGAGATCATAACCTGAGCCAAAGTCAGATGCTTAGCTGAATGAGCCACCCAGAAGCCCCGTTTTACTTATTTTCATAATACATTTTACTACATGACAGTATAATACATAATTATGTGTTTATCTTCTGTCTTCCCTTAAAATATAAATTTCACGGAAGCAGGGACTTTGGTTCCATACTCTATCTTCAGTGATGAACCAGTATAGGGTACATAGTTAATTGTTGACTAAATGAATGAACAAACATGGTTAGGTGCACAGAAACAGGAGTATAGATAAAGCCATGAGGAGGACTGGAAGTCTTAAATGCCCTAATGAAGAGTCTGAACTTTGTTCAATTGGCAATGAGAAGTCACTGAAAATTCCTGCGGTAAAGAGCAATGTAGTCAAAACTATACTTTTGAAAGAATCATCCTAAATAAGAATATTAGAATAATATCCTAAGTGTTTAAGCCTAGACATAATTTAAGTTTGGTACAGTAAGTGCATTAGAAATAAGAAGGAAAGGCTGAATATAAGCCACTTTTAGAGACAGATGACTTGACACACACTGATAAACAGAATATGGAAGAATGAACCCATTCTCCAGAAAGGCATGGAAATAAGAAATCTCTTGAAAAAAAAATCTGGCGAAAAAACAAATTCTGGGAAAAAAAAATAGTTCTGTCTTAAACATACTGGGCTCAGTATGCCAGTTAAGACTCAGATTCTATCTGTATATAAAAGTCTAGGGGCTCAACAACACAGGTCTGGGAATAATTTAGAAAGGTTATGGGCAAGGAGGTTTCCAAATAGCACAGAGAGGACTAGTAAGACAAAACTAAAAAATGCCCCAAATTTCAGGAGTAGGCAGAAGTAAACATTAAAGAAAACTGTAGAGATGAATTCAAAGACAGTACTGATTACAAAAAGAGGGTATGAAGAAAGAAAAGCCTTTGCATATGGTGATTTACATCCCTGGAGATCAGCTACAAAACTAGCTAACTTGGGATAATGGTGGCGTGAACAGAGCCTGACTATAAGTTAAGAAATGAGTAGGAAAGAGGAAGCTGAGACAATGAGTTTATAATAAATAAATTAAAAACATGAAGAAAAAATTTTAAAATACATAATAAATAAAGATAATAAAGTACATGTTTAGTAAAGACAAAAAAAGGAAAAATAAGTTGAAGAATGATGTCCATGTTACTGACTTTGTGGTTTTAAAACTGAGGCTTAACAAGATTAACTAATATGCCCAAGGTTATACAGCTTATAGCAGTTATTTTAAGTTAAAATCTAGCTTCTGAGCATTTGCTTTTAAATATTGAACTATCTACCTATTAATTGAGACAACAGATACGTAGGCGTAAGCAGGAAGGAGGTTAAAGGAAAAAAGTTGAATGGTTTTCATTGTCTCCATTAGTTTCCAAATCAGTAACGTGTATGTAGGCAATGATACTTACAGGGCACTGTGATAGTTAAACTGTGTTGGTATAGGTAACATGTAGTACAGGGCTCAATAAATCGTAACTAGTTTTAGGTGGAACACTGAGTCTCCCCACTTGTTTCCATAAAGAAGAAATTCAGCCTTGTCCTTCTCTCCACTTATCAATCACTCTCATCTCCCTGTAGGAGTTAGAGTAAGCTTTTTGACTGGTTAGCCAAAGTTCTTGCTCTCTTCAGATCCATGTGCCTGTAGGAAAGTGCACTTTCATCTGCTCTCTAGCAGGCAATAAGGAGCCTGCCTTATATTGTCTCTGGCAGGGTAGATAAATCCATCTAATTCTGAGGAGTGTTCACAAGCCATTTTAACCACAGACTAAAGTCATATTATCCAATTGGTTTTTTATCAACATTATGTCTGGCCCTTTGATCTCTAGTTGTCTGACCTTAACATCTATCTCTTAATTGGTTGTGAACTCTGCTGGTGAACAGAACTATTGATGATACCCCTTAACTACCGCACAAAGTACTATTCTATTATAGGCCCATCATTATATTCGAATATAACTAGAATATAGTCTTTATTTTAATAAACAAGTACAATTCTTACCCTGATTACAATTTGTGCCACATCAAAGTCTGAAACATCGTCTAAAATTGGTTGGGTATTTTCTGGTCCATAAACAAGACAGTTAAACAAGGTTTTAGAAAAGAAACCAGGTGAAGGACCACCATGAACCAAAGAAATGGCAAGGATTTTTCCAGCTTCATAATAAAGATTTTCTTTCAGAGCTGTAAATACAGATAAAAGGATATCAAATATAATACTTTTATCACTATATGATAACTATCATATATGATGAATACATATACAGTAAAATTAAAAATACCCCATAACTTAGACTTAAATATAAAGTAACTTAATTCACAGAAACTAGAATCGTGTATAAAATATAGATCTCACCTAAATATATTTTTCTGAATGAAAAATAACCCATAACAGAAAAATGTAAATACAGAAAATCTTTAATACAAAAATCCCCTATAATCCTATCACCATAATAACTGGTGTGCACACTTTGATATATATTTCTCGTTATGTATGTTACTATATAGACAAATAGCTTGACTTATGTCTTTTTTCATTTACTACATTGTAATCTTATTCTATGTTATTCAAAATTATTCAAATTTACAGTTGGTTAATAAATGCATTAAGACTAATTTACAGATGTGCTGCAATGTAAAACACCTCATTACTGGCTACGTTGGCTAAGTTACATTTTCAGTTATATGAGACACAACATTACAATCAACATCTATTGCCATATTCTTGTTTATATATCTTTGGTTATTTGATTACTATAAATTCCTACATATGCTAGTAGTTCAAAGGATATAAACATTTTTAAGGTTGTTGATACACAGTGCTAAATTATCTTCCAATGGCACAAATTTACTCCCAACAGCATATGCTAACTTACCATGTAATCACAGATTTCAATATTTTTTTAATTATTTAAAATGTTTAGCTAAATGAAGTAACTTGGAGAGAGACAAAATCATATGATTTCACTGATATGTGGAATTTACGAAACAAAACAAACCACCAAAGGGAAAAATATAACAGAGAGATATACATACACACACAAATCAAGAAACAGACTCTTAAGTATAGAGTATAAGATGATTACCAGAGGGGACAGAGGTGTGGGGATGGCTTAAATAGGTGATGGGGACTAAGGAGTGCACTGGTCATGATGAGCAGAGGGTGATGTGTGGAAGTGCCAAATTACTATATTGTATACCTGAAAGTAATGTAACACTGTATGTTAACTAACTTGAATTAAAATAAAAACTTAAAAGTAAACAGAATGTTTTAGCTACTCTGATAAATCAAAAAGATAACATGTGAATTTTCCTTAAAATTGTTCTGAGCAAATTATTAATAAGTAACATTATGAATACAACAATATTATAATAACAACTTTATATGCAATGTGTGAGCAGTCACATTTTACTGATGAAGAATCTGAGTTCCAGAGAGGGCTACATAATTAATTTAAGGATATAAAACTAATGAAGTAGATGTGTACAAAACTGAAATCAGATTTTGTGAATTCATGCACTCATTCACTACACCAAAACTGTCTTAGTTAACCAATTATTTGGAGCTTTTTATTGTTGTTGCTTTTTGTTTTTTAAAAGGAGTGTAGAATTAAACTCTCTGTAGTGCGTATAGTACAAATAAACCTTGGTAGTTCTCAATTATTTTAATGATGAATCAGGCAACAGTGAAGAAGTTCTATGACATATACAGAAGGAAACTCAAATGGAGTAAGATGAGACTTCTCTTTCGAATTTCCCATTACAGCAAAAGTGTACATAGCTCCTAAAAAAAGTGCTTATATCTTCTTTTAGGTATAAAGCTTCTAAAAAAAAGAATGCTAGAATTAACCATGCTTTTTTTTAATTAAAAAAAAGTTTTCTAACCATCTTCTGAGATGCCATGTTTTAATTCCTTACCAGAAGACACAAAAGTATCATATACATATTTGCAATCCTTGAAAACAAAAGTACATTAAAAAATTCATTACATATGGACCAGAATATTATGTGATAAAAATCATAGGTTATGAAGAAACATCCTATCTACAAATTCCAAATACATGTACAAGAAGGGCTCAAATAATCATCCTTTCCATTTGGCTACTCTATTCAAATGATGGAATGAATATACATCTTTTAGAAGTTACATGTAATTACGAACTCACTCCAAAAAGGATATTTACTATAAAGAAATTAAGCATATTCTTAAATAAAAAGTATTTCACTATAAAATTTACTCTTCACTCCTTCTCCTCTTTTCTGTGATTCAATCGGTATTTTATTAACAAAGTGAATGATACATTTTGACCACAGGAACTGAAAATTAATTCTAACCAATTATCTCTTTCTTTACACATGGTATCTTCAGTAAGTACAATAATAAATAAAACAATTACCTTGAGAATTTAGAGACAAATTCTTTGACAAGGACCCTTCAAATATTGGTGAATTCTCAAGATGCTGCATTAAGAGACTTAGGAATTCTTGCTTTGATCCAGGATGCTCTCTTCCAAAATTATCATTTTCATTAACATATGCTACTTCAATTGTATATGAAGGATTAAAGTTTTGATTTCTGAATCCATCTAAGGCACTACTCCAGATATTGGCTTTATTAATCCATAATCTTTTAGTTTTTTTTTTAATTTGAAATCCTAATTCCATTATTATTGTTGATATATCTCTTCTAAATTTGCTGCCTTGCCTATAAAACACGAATTTAAACATAAAGGTTAAGTACTCTAAAGTACTTCACATGACAAAGCAGTTACATAGCCAATAAAAAAATAGAAAAATATATCAAAAGGAAGTTCTTCCCCAACTCCCACCCAAAAGCACACAATAGGTACCACCTGTTTTTTGATTTGATTCTAAAGTCTTGACTTCTTCCCCAATTTCCTACCAAATTAAAATGTAATGTCATAAATGATTTATGAGAATGTTGATAGATCTTTATTTCAAATTTGGTCATTTCAGTAGATTCAGATGTAAGAGTCAGAAGCTCAGAACCTCACCACCTTGGCCAATGGCTATAATAAACAGTTGCTTAAGTGTATATCAAGTTCACGAGATCCTTTAAAAATAGAATATTATCTTTGCTTACTCAGTGAGAAAACCACAGCTTTAAGAGATTACACAATGTATTTTTAATCATAAAGTTAGTTAAAAGTAGAGCTAATATTACAAACACTATTCACAACCCTTTAAATCGTGCTTTTTAGTCTAGACCAGTAATTCTCATAGTTCCAAACCAGCAGCAGCAACAGCATCTGGAAACTTGTTAGAAATGCAAATTCTTTATTTTTTCCAAGATTTTATTTTTAAGTAATCTCAACACCCAATGTGGAGCTCAAACCCACAACCCTAAAATCAGAAGTTACATACTCAACTGACTGAGCCAGCCAGGCCCCCCAGAGATGCAAATTCTTGAGCTACACAACAGGTAAACAGAATCAGAACCTCTGAGCATGAAGCCTAGCAATCCATGTCTTGATAAGACCTCCAGGCAATTGTATGGATTGATTCAATTTCCATCTGTACCTAGAATTAATGTACTCAAAATAATCCTGTTTGGAGCAATGTCCATGGATCATCTTTCTACATCAAGTATAAATTTTTCTCATCATAAAACATTACAATGTGCCAATGTGGGTCAGCCTTTGCTTTTCTTCTTCATACAACCCTCTTTCATAAACCCAAGTTTCATTAAACCAGTCTTTTGGGAATAAAGACTATCCATCAGAAGTATGCCTTGGTGTAGCAGGTTGATATCTAGCTCCTACCTGGAATGGAAATGCCAATGCTATTCTTTTAGAATATGATGTTAAACCAAGGAACAAGGACTCAAACTTTTCTGGTATAACAACTTTGGAAACCTACATGTTAAAATTTTTAAAACTAAGGTGAACACCTTTTTTGGTACTAAAAGTAATTTAAAAAAATTTGTGACAAATTTTCAGTTAACACAAGTGGTATCTTAAAACAGCAATTCTTTACTTTTTGAATAGTACTTCTTATTCCATTTCTATCTATAAATCTAGTTTTCACAGAAATTCTTTACTTTCTAAGTTTAAACTTGTGTCTATTTTTAACAAAAAAGTATTTCATCATGTTTAGCTACTAAAGTTACTTTTGGCTTTTTTTTATAAACTCCTTTGCAAAGTTACATATACTTAAAAATATTAACCTCTGCTGAATAAATACCTGATACATAATAAAGTTGTAATGCTAGTCTTATTTAAATGTTTATGAATGATTCTAAAGTTACTTATTTTGCTTTTATGAAAATATTTAAGCATCGCTGAGCGTGGTGGTGAGCGCCTGTAGTCCCAGCCATTAGGGAGGCTGAACCAGGAGGAAAGCTTGAGCACAGGAGTTCTGGGCTGTAATGCGTTACGCCAAATGGGTGTCTGCGCTAAGTTCGGCATCAATATGGTGACCTCCTGAGAGCCGGACACCACCAGGTTGCCTAAAGGAAGGGTGAACTGGACCAGGTAGGAAAATATTTAGGCATTAATACAATACAATAACACTTGTAAAGTATGTCTTAAACTTTCTAAAGAGGTGACATTTAGACCTCTGACACTGACAGCAAATATATTAAGCAAATGATTATAAAATAAAAAAATAGTATCTATATTAAGGATTCCTTCCTTTTAACAAAGTAACATGGTATCCTTAATATTTTAAACCACCTTGAAAATGATCTATAATCTGTATTTTACGTCACAACTCAATACACAATAAATTTTCATATACATTCTTTCTATGTGCAATGCAATCTGATATTTTATATTCTATTTTATCCTGTTTTTCTTTTTGCCATGCTGGTTGCACTGACTTTCATGATCATATGTTGGTCCAATAGTTTAAAAAATGCTTTTCCAGGAGCACCTGGGTAGCTTATTTGGTTAAGCCTCTGACTTATGATTTTGGCTCAGGTCATGATCTCAACGTTTTGTGAGTTCAAGCCCCATGTTAGGCTGTGCACTGACAGTCTGGAGCCTGCTTGGGATTCTCTCTCTCCCTCGCTCTCTGCCCCTTCTTTGCTCTCTCTCGCAAAATAAACAAACATTAAAACAAAAATAAAAACAAAACAAAAACCTCATTCAGGGATGCTTGGTGGCTCAGCTGGTCAAGTGTCTGACTGAGGCTAAGGTTATGATCTCACAATTAGTGAGTATGAGCCCTGCATGCGGCTGTCTGCTGTTACCACAGAGTTGACTTTGGATCCTCTGTCTCCTCCTTTCCTCTCTGCCCCTCTCCTGCTCACACTCTCTCACTCAAAAATAAACATAAAAGAAAAAAAAAAGAAAAAACACTCTTCCAGAATACTAAGATCAGCTAATATGCTAAGTGTATGAAGCTACCTTCTATTGTAATTTTTTTCAAAATAGAATTTTATAGGGATGCCTGGCTGGCTCAGTTGGTAGAGCAAGTGACTCCTGTCTTGAGGTCATGAGTTCAAACCCCATATTGGGTATAGAGCTTACTTAAAAAAAAAAAAAATTATATTTTTCTCCAATTCAAAAGACATACCTCAGTAGATCTTTATGTTGGGGTCCAGGTGACTGTCTGGGTAATTTAGGTGATGATTCTTCCAATAAACAATCAGTTATTCCCACATTATTAGTGTTGGGTAATGTATGCTTTTTGGCTTTTTGGAAATCCTCTGCAAATTTAAAACCCTACGTTAGCATTATAGAAATATAGAAAGAAATTTTTCAATAATATACATTTGAAAAAATACCTTTATTCAAAAGTACAAAATATTACCTGAATTGTAGAGAATACCTCTACATTCCAAACACTCCCAGTTTTGTTCCCATGATCGTAATGAGGAACAAGCTAAATGTGTTCCGCTAGAACCACAACACTGACAGCGCTTTATTTCCCATTTGCTGAGGACATAAAGAGAAGCATATTTACATTTTAGGATTAACTTGGTCTAATTCCAACCACTAGCACTGCCAAAGGCTACAGAGTCTGCCTCACATATAACCAGCCCTTCTACAAAAGGAGGAAAAATAGATTATCTGCTTTGATACATTACTTTTTCTTCATATATATTTTTTCTATTTCATTTATTATGTTTGTAACCACCTCCTCCTCTAAATATTCACTAATTTAAAATGTCTAAACTAAATATCAACATGTACATTCACATAAACAAGGATATAAACATTAGAGAGAATATGATTAAGAAAGAAAAAATTTCTTTTATATTTGGAAACTACTACGGCCAAAGGGAGATTGCTATGTCAATGTGTCCAACGTGGAAGAAGCATTCAGTAAATATTTAACTAAAATATTACCTTTCCAATTCAATGTGAGGAATTATTTCCTACAAAAGATTCTTCAGACACTAGTATTGTGGCTCAACAGGATCCAGAACTTACTATGTGGCCCATATTAATATTTTCTTATTTGTTCCCCTCCATCCACCCCCAGCCTCCATGTTTCCCAATAGGCTGTGTGATGTGTGTGTTTTCTGTATAGGTGTGGGTGTGGGTTGTGGTGTGGGGCCTACTTTTAGTTTGGTTGGGTACACCCTCAATGAATCAAAATGGATATATATTCTCTGTGTGTGTGGATGTGTAGGTAAGAGAGGCCATTGGAAACCCTCCCTTCCATTTGGTATAGGTGAATCTCTCTCTGTGTGGATACAGGTCTATAGCTGTGTGTCTCCCCAACTTCCCCAGATAGTTCTGCCAAATGATGATGAAGAGAAAGAAAAGAACAGCTAACATGAGCACTTACTATATACTAGGACCAGTTCTCTTTATATGAAAAGTTTAATCCTCATAATTTTTTTTACTAAATTTTTTTCAATGTTTTTATTTATTTCTGAGAGAGACAGAGAGAGAGAGAGAGAGAGAGAGACAGCGTGAGCAGGGGAGGGTCAGAGAGAGAGGGAGATACAGAATCTGAGACAGGCTCCAGGCTCTGAGCTGGCTGTCAGCACAGAGGCCGATGCAGGGCTCGAACACATGAACCATGAGATCATGACCTGAGCCGAAGTCGGCCGCTTAACCGACTGAGTCACCCAGGTGCCCCAATCCTCATAATTTTAAAAAGCAGAGAAAACCACTGTTACCCTTCAATTTAAAGAGGAGGAAACCAAAACACAGATGGGTAAATAACTTGCCCAATTAAATTTACACTGCTTGTTAAGTCTCACTGAGGCTTCCAACCTAGTTGACCAGGCTTCATTCAGGCCCATGCTTCTAACCACTATACCATGGTGGTTAGAAAGCAAACGCTTTCCTATATCTAGGATGAGGAAGTCGGATTACCAGAAAAAGCATTCAAATGGCAGGTATTGTGTCCCAGGAGAAATGAGAAGGGATTCAATCTCAAATAACTGCTAGAAAGAAAAGTGAGCGTGGTAACTACTAACTGGGTGAATAAATTTAGAAAATATCAGTATTAGTCAATGTATTGCTTCTTGGAAATCTAAGGTGCTAGGGTGTGTGGGTGGCTTAGTTGGTTAAGCATCTGACTCTTGATTTCAGCTCAGATCATGATCTCATGGTTCATGGGCTCTGCACTGACAGTGTGGGGCCTACTTGGGGATTCTGCTCATGCTTGCCCTCCATCTCTCTATCTCTCAAAAAATAAATAAATAAGCTTTAAAAAAAAAAAGACACCTAAAGTAACTTATTGTTCACAAAGCACATCTATATATATCATCTCATCTGTGCCTCACCACAACCCTTTAGAGGGGGTATTATTAGTGTTTCCAAATGAATAATCAGGGTCCCCAATCACATAAGAATATACAACACTTGAGGGGCACCTGAGTAGCTCAGTCAGTTAAGTGCCTGCCTTTGACTCAGGTCATGATCTTATGGTTCTTGATTTCGAGCCCCACATCGGGCTCTGTGCTCACAGCTCAGAGCCTGGAGCCTGTTCAGATTGTCTCTCCATCTCTCTCTGCTCCTTCCCACTTGCTCGTGTATGCTCTCTCTCGCTCAAAAATGAAGAATATACGACACTCGACATCTGTGATAAGACCTCTGCCCTTAAATAATTTTTAATCTAATGAAAAAAACAAATTTAAATAATGTCAATTATATTGTAACATACACACAAAAGAAAAAACCCAGCCCAGAATGGGAAATCAGGAGTGGTAAGAGCTTCTTAGGGAAATTTTTCAAAGCAGGCAAGACATCAGCTGAGCCTTTGCAAATAAGAGGTCTTACCCAGCCAAATCATTTTCCGTGAGAAACAAGGCTCCCAATATTCTGCTTTGTACTTTTAAGTTTCAGCTTGCCATGTTAAGTAAGATTATACAACAGCGATTAAAAATGTATTGAAATATCCTCCATAAATTTCAACAAAATTGGATGTTACTTTTTATTCTGCATCTTAAAAAATGAAGATACTCTTGATTTCTAGTATCCAACACAGTATAGTGTACATAAAAGGCACAAAATGATTGTTAAGATTAGAGCCAATATCTACTCATAGTTCAAAAGAATAATCAATAAATTTCAAATGCCAAAACCTTTTTATAGTGACCCAAAAGAATACTGCTAGATTATTAAGCTATGGAATAGTGCCATCCAAAAGAAACACATTGCAAGTCATTTAATTTAAACTTTCCTAGTAACCTGATTGAAAAGGTAAAAGAAACAGGTGAAATGAATTTCAGCACTTCCAAAATATGATTTTGCTTGACATGTAATCAATATCAAAAAGTCACTAACAAGATGCTTTAAGTTATTTTTGTCTTACTATTATGGGCCGAATTGTGTCCCCTCCAAATTCATAAGTTGGAGTCCCAAAACCCAGTACACCTCACTATGTGTTTTTATTTGGAGATGGGGCCTTTAAAAATATAATTAAGATAAAATGAGGTCACATGGGTGGGCCCTAATTTAATATGACTGGTGTCCTTATAAGAAAAGAACATTAAGACACAGGCAGAGGGACAATAATGTGAAGACAAAGTTAGAAGGGAGCCATGTGCATGACAAGTAGAGATGCTTAAGTAGAAATAAAACTGGCTAAAACCTCTATCTGTAATTTCTAGCCTCCAGGATGGTGAGAAAATAAATTTCTGTTATTATGGCAGGTTTAGCAAATTAAGACAGTAAGTCCTCACTGTGTATTCACACTTAAAACACTTCTCAGTTTGGAGTAGCCACATTTCAAGTGCTCAACAGCCAACGTGGCGAGTAGCTACCATACAGGACAGTGTAGCTCTAGACAATGAAGGCTCAGTAAACACACCACAGAAATTAGTTACAACTATCCGACAGCAATACTTTCTCTGTAAATATGCTTTTAATAAATATACCTCCTGTCAAGTTAAAACTTCAAACATTCTTAGAGCAAATCTACATTTCACGAACTAGAAAACTACTTCCTCAACCAACAGTTTAAAAAACGACACTAAACATAAAGGGACTTCCCAATATACCTATCAGGTGCATTATAGTCTCGTCCTTCTTTGCAACGACATCTTCGGACATCACAATGCTCATAGTGTTGCAGAAGCTCTTGATAAGCATTTTCCTCTAGTTCCCAAGATGCATCTCTATAAACAAAGATATAAAATGTACTATGAACTAAAATTTTGCATCAAAGGATTGGTAATGAATATAAAAGAAACTTCTCACATACTTGGCAACAAGGATAAAACAATGCTTTTCGGGATTAATCATTGTCTTTAAGATATAAATCTATTAGTGTCATTTTATCCTACAGTTAATTATTCTCACAGTGAATTTTCAAATGCTAAATGAGAAATAAGAAATTTTCTAACATCTACATTTTTTCTAATATTTCACTTCTAATTTTTAAATTTCAAGTTTAGTGCCATTATTTCCTCCTCTTTAAGTACTAAGAAAATCCTTCTTATATACTTTAAACCACACCTTGATTCTCTTAGAAAATTTATATATACCATTTTGAAAGTCTATTACACTTGGGTATAAGTCAACCAATTAATATTGTACATACTGAGGTATTTATTAAGACACTGTAAGTCAATTAATGAGACATTTTAAGTCACAGCCCCTGCTCTCAAGAACTAGCAATGAGTTCTTGGGAAGAAGGAGGCAGTGGGTGGAGGGACAGCTTTACATTTCCACGTTTAAGATGGCTGCTTATTTATGATCATTTTAATCATACATAAGTGATTATTTCCATTGTTATTAAATCCTACATTTACATATCTTTTTTGTCAAGAGGCTAAATGGTACTCACTTTTCAGGAATATGAATTCCCATTCTCAACATCTCTTTCTGAAATATATCACTATTATTGCATATTGTGCATCTAAAGAAAAACACTCCTGCATTTATTGCTTGAACCTGTAACAGAAAACAGAAATCCATTGTTAACAATTTAACAAGGTATCAGGTTATAAATTGTAACAGGTAACAAAACATGTACTATTTTTCACTTAATATATTATAAAAACATATTTTCTATGCTAGTTCTTATGCTTTGATACTCTACTGCTAAAATTTTGAAAAATTTTCCCGCAATGATGAAAAATAATTAAGTTAATGAACTGGCTGTTCTTTTTTTTTTTTTTTTTTTACAAATAGTTTATTGTCAAGTTGGTTTCCATATAACACCCAGTGCTCATCCCCACAAGTACCCCCCTCCGTGCCCATCCCCCCCCCCCCCCCCCACCATAAGTCCTCAGTTTTTGTCAGCATTCAAGAGTCTCTCATGGTTTGCCTTTCCCCCTTTCCCCTACCATTTCCCCCCTTCTTCTCCCCCGTGGTCCTCCATTAAGTTCCTCCTAATCCTCCTATACGTGCAAACATATGATATTTGTCCTTCTCTGCCTGACTTATTTCGCTCAGCATAACACCCTCAAGGTCCATCCATGTAGCTACACATGGCCAGATTTCATTCTTTCTCATTGCCATATAGTATTCCATTGCACAGATAAACCAAATCTTTTTAATCCATTCGTCCGTTGATGGACACTTAGGCTCTTTCCATGTTTTGGCTATTGTTGAAAGTGCTGCTATGAACATTGGCGTACATGTGCTCCTATGAACTGGCTGTTCTTAACTTTACATCTATCACATATTTTTCTCAACTTTTATTATTCCAATGTTTTCTTTTTTCACTGTTTACTTATTTGAGGAAGAGAAGAAAGAGAAAGAGAGAGAGAGAAAGTAGGAGGGGAGAGAGAGAGAGAGAGAGAGAGAATCCCAAGCAAGCTCCATGCTGTAAGCGCAGAGCCCGACATGGGGCTCAAACCCACAAACCGCCCCCAAGACCTGAGCCAAAACCAAGAGTCAGACGCTCAACCAACTGAGCCACACAGGTGCCCCTAATGTCATTTCTGTCCTCAAATATTGTGTTATCCATCACTCTCTGTGAATAAAATGTAAAAATATTGATTTACTTCATCTGGGAAAGGTGTTTAAATAAGTATTACTATAAATCATCCTTGGTTCTGTTTTTAACTCAATCTCTAAGTGACTTTTTTCCTAAGAGGGGAGAATTATAAAACCTATTCTTATTTTCAGCACATAGAAATACAGAACCCTCAGGCAGAAAATATGAGGAAACAGAAAACTATAAACCTATTAGAAAGAGTACCCATCCTCATTTAAAACAATTAGCAGCACATATTTAGTAACTATTTACCCCCTATAGTGTATTACCCTCTATAGTGCAGGTGCTGAACACTATGCTATGTACCGAAAATAGAAACATAAAATAACTTAGATCCTATTTCAAGGAATTATTGTGAGGTACAATTATAATTTGTAAAAGTGTGTGTGTGTGTTTAAGTATATACATGAAAGAGAGAGGAAGAAGTACCTAAGTCTATGTAAGAGCCTGACAAAAATGACAGAAGAATGGTGAAGTCAAAGCAAAATTTGGAAGAGGAAACAAAGGTTTGCCAGGAAAATAGGACAAAAGACATTAGAAGGAAATGTAATTGTATATATCAAGTTTCCATGGCAAGAGAGAGCAAAATGTGATGAGGGAACTAATTAATAATATATTTAGGGATTACACGCTGGCAATAATGAACTCAGTAATGAGGTTAGACAGGTAAATCAAAGCCAGCAATGTATGTGAAAAATTGGTAAGAAATAAGGCATGCAGGAGAAAAAGCCAGTTAATAAGCTCCTTCAAATGTCTAGTTTAAAAAAAAAGTGTCTACACCCCCAAAAGCAAAGGAATCAAGAGCAAAAATAAACGATTGGGACCTCATCAAGATTAAAAGCTTCTGCACAGCAAAGGAAACAACCCACGAAACTAATAAGCAACCAACAGAATGGGAAAAGATAGTTGCAAATGACATATCAGATAAAGGGCTAGTATCCAATATCTATAAGGAACTCAACCAAACTCCGCACCCGAAAAACAAACAACCCAGTGAAGAAATGGGCAGAAAACATGAACAGACACTTTTCCAAAGAGGACATCCAGATGGCCAACAGACACGTGAAGCGATGCTCAGCATCCCTCCTCATCAGGGAAATACACATCAAAACCACACTGAGATACCACCTCACACCAGTAAGAGTGGCTAAATGAGCAAAACAGAGAACGCGAGATGCTGGCGAGGATGTGGAGAAACGGGCACCCTCCTACACTGTTGGTGGGAATGTAACTGGTGCAGCCCCTCTGAAAACAGTGTGCAGGTTCCTCAGGAAACTAACAATAGAACTCCCCTAGGACCCAGCAATAGCACTGCTAGGAATTTACCCAAGGGATACAGAAATGCTGATGCATAGGAGCACATGGACCCCAAGAGCAATCTCTTGTGAAAGTTCTGCTTAACCTTGTTATTCTGTCAGTGGGTTACAAACCTTTTAAGATTCCCTGTGGGAGACTAAACACTGTGTTGTGCTACCCACAGCTAAAGTCAGTATACAGTGTGACTTAAAGACATTAAGTCCTGTAGTATTTCCTGTAATTCACTGGCCAGCATATGTCTGTGTCTTCACAGAACACCAGCACTCATGAGGGCAAATTACAGAAAAGTTGTGTGCAGTTTCATTTTATTAATGCATTTTTATTTTAAGGCACTGCTTTTCTGAGGTAAGGCTTAAAAAGGGACATCGATGTGCTTAATCACTAAAAGGAAACAAGAAAATCAGTTAACAAAAGCTTATTACACTATATACATAGAAATACAAAGAAATCCCTTAAAACAGACTCGAAATTGGTACAGTAGGAAAAGCTTTGGGATATTTCACTCCATGTTTGTACAGACAACACATGCTGCTTTCCTTTTCATCCTCACACCCCTGAAGCTGGCTTCACAGAGTGGAGAGGTTTTCGGGACAACAAACACAAGGCCAAGAGTCCCACATACCCATGAATTCCCCTATCCACTGGCACCATGAGGGAGCCACAGTGTTTAAATAATCAAACCTTGTTCCTTTTCTTCATGTTTGTAGTGTTTCACTGAACACTTTTTGTTTTTTTAGTGTTTATCTTGAGAGAGAGAGAGAGAGAGAGAGAGAGCACGTGTGAGCTGGGGAGGAGAGGAGAAAGAGAAAGAGAGATAGAGAGAGAGAGAGAGAGAGAGAGGAGAGAAAATCCCAAGCAGGTTCTGTATGGTCAAGAGAGAGCTCGAAGTGAGGCTCAGTTTCACAAACCATGAGACCATGACCTGAGTAAAAATTAAGAGTCAGATGCTTAACCAACTGAACCACTAAGCATTCCCTCAATGCAAGTTTAAAAAAAAAAAAAAAAAAGCCATCGTTCTATTCCTTCCTCCTATCAAAACTCAGTAGTGACATGAAGGTGAAAAGGTAACTGGGGACACCTAGGCATTAATAACAAGAATTATTCATAATGGGCTACTGTTAACACTGTACATGGTTAGGACAGTGGGCAACCAAGACAAATTTCAACTGTCCATGACATTAGATTGAAGTATTATTAGCTCTGTGGGCTGACATTTAACATTAGTATAACAAGATCCTGCCATACCTTCACTGACAAAATCCTGTGTAGCTGTGAAACTTTGATGACAGACTAGTTTCTTTAACTTCACATGTGATTTTAGAGACATAGGGCCTTTTGGCTCAGAAAGGCCTTGGCATTTCACATTGTTCACAGCAGATTAAGGCTGGATAGTTCAAAAACATATAGGCAGTACAATTCCACTAAGACGCCTCACCACCTTCTGTGTCTTGAGTTCTTGGTGTTTTGATGGTGGACCTTTGATCTTTGGATATTGGTGGCACAGGATCTACAAATCTAATATTGTCATAAAAGGTATGAACAGCACTGAGATTAAAATTTGGTCCTTGGGCTTAAAAAAGATCAAGTTCTTCGGTTAATGTCAATGTCAATCTGGAGTGGTCTACTACAGTTCTAAACTGCTGCGTTTCTTTGAGTGAAGGTATTGAGGGATATGGAATTTAATCATCTCAGGTGCCTTTGAGTTAGATTATTTCCACTTTGACAACTTAAGATTTTAGTTCACCCAGGTTTTTCTTTTGAATCTCAAGTTCTCTTTTAAGTTGTTCTAACTAGCCTTCTGGTGTACCAGTAGAGCTTCAGTGTAGGTATCATCACCAGATCCCATACTCAACTTCTAAGCTTCACTCATTCTATTCACATGTGCTACAAAGTAGGGTCTGTGAAGTGCTGAATATTTTCTATTTCTACGTAATGATCAGGATGGCTAAAAAGATTTGTAAGTTCAAAGGCAGGAAATTGCAGGATGTTTATTACAAGAAACTGTAAATTTGAAAGTATATTTTGTACTGGGCTAAGCAACCACTACTTGAGAAGAAATTGCAGTTATTGCTATTGTTCGATTCACTCAAGTACTTTTACTATTAGTACTTTTAAAACTGTCTTGAAATGTAAGAGGATTTATAACACCTTCAAACTTTGAGAAATACTTTTGTGGATATTGTGTAATCAATAATAACACTTCATTTTACTAAACAATAGTAAAAGCCAACTTAAGTGTTAAACTTAGGGGAGACTGGGTGGCTCAGTCGGTTAAGCGTCTGACTTTGGCTCAGGTCATGATCTCGCAGTCTGTGGGTTTGAGCCCTGCAATGGGCTGTGTGCTGACAGAGCCTGAAGCCTGCTTCAGATTCTGTGTCTCCCTCTTTCTCTGCCCCTCCTCACTCATGCTCTATCTCTCTCTGTCTCTCAAAATGAATAAACATTAAAAAAAAAGTGTTAAACTTAAATAAATCCTTTGTTATTTAGCATTCTATTAACTAGAACTATCAGTTGGTACTTTAACACATGTATACTATTGTATTTGATGTTATCAGTAAGTGAGATCTTTTTAAAAATCTTTTGAATCAAATACATGTTAAATTACTTAATGTTATGTGTTTTATGGTATATACTTAATAACCTGTCATCAAGTTTGACATACAAGGTGGCTTTCAAAAAGAACTAATACTTTTAATTCATTAAACAGTAATCAGTCCCTGTCAAGAATCTGTGATACAAAGTGTTTACCAGTTTTTTAAAAGGCCTCTCAACATTTAAGTATCTTAGCTTACAGTTAAATTATCATTTCACATATCTTGATTTTCTAAGCTTAAATATGTAAACGAACTTGTGAATTAAATCTGTGTTTTATTCATTGTGAAATACAAACAAAAACCTTAGGTAAAAACAACAAAAATGTTCAAGCATAAATAAAAATTAGAAGGTAGTATTCTAAAGTATTATTAAAATATTAATTCAATATTCACTTCAAAAGAGTAAATTTCAATACAGTAATTCCTCAATAGAGTATATTTTATGTGTGAAATATGCTTTAGTTAAGCTGTTTTTAAATTACAAGTAAAATACACATGTTAACTCTTCCCAATTTAAAATTCAAATCAAAGGGGCGCCTGGGTGGCTTAGTCGGTTAAGCGTCCGACTTTCGCTTAGGTCATGATCTCGTGGTTCATGGGTTCAAGCCCCGCGTCGGGCTCTGTGCTGACTGCCAGCTCAGAGCCTGGAGCCTGTTCCAGTCTGTGACTCCCTCTCTCTCTGACCCTCCCCTGCTCACGCTGTCTCTCTCTCTCTCTCCTAGAGATAAATAAAACATTAAAAAAATTAAAAAAAATAATAAATAAAATTCAAATCAGGGGCACCTGGGGGCGACCCTCCCCTGCTCATGCTGTCTCTCTCTCTCTCCCCCCGCCAGAAATAAATAAAAATATTAAAAAAAAAAAAAAAAATCAGGGGCACCTGGGGGCGCCTGGGTGGCTTAGTCGGTTAAGTGTCCGACTTTTGCTTAGGTCATGATCTCGCGGTTCGTGGGTTCGAGCCCCGTGTCGGGCTCTGTGCTGACTGCCAGCTTGGAGCCTGGAGCCCATTCCAGAGTGTGTATCGCCCTCTCTCTCTGACCCTCCCCTGCTCATGCTGTCTCTCTCTCTCTCTCTCTCCCCCCGCCAGAAATAAATAAAAATATTAAAAAAAAAAAAAAAATCAGGGGCACCTGGCCCCCCTCAGCTGGCGAAGTATGCGACTCTTGATCCCAGGGTTGTAAGTTCAAGCCTCATATTGGGTGTAGAGATTACTTTAAAAAGTAAGTAAATAAACTTAAAAAAAAAAAAAAAAAAAAAAAAAGGAAATGAAATTCAAGTCAGCAAACAACAAATTTTATATCCAAAAAAGTTTACAAAATATCTTACCTGTAAACAGTCTCTATGAAACCAAGCATTCTTACAACAAGGACTTCGTAATATACTATAAGTTGGAATAGGCTCAATGAATTCCAAGCAAATGGTACATGGTAAGGAGTCTCTATAATTATTAGATGTAATTATTTGAACAGGTCGATGGTTCCAACAAAATGATCTAAAAATGTGAATTATTTAAAAATAACATATAATAAATTACAAAGCACAATAAGGCTAGCATTATAATTTGCATTTAATAAAAGAAAACTCATAATTATTCATAATCACTCAAAATGTGAACCTTCTGTTGGTTAAGACAATTCACAAAATTTCAGTAACTAGCATTATGTTGAGAATCTTATGTAATAATATTAGCAATACCATTATACTCAACAATGTACAAAAGAAGGAATTTAAACTTGAAAAATATTTTAATCAGGTAACATAAAATATAAGTAAAAACTTACTGTTAAGCCACTAAATTTTTTTCCTCTTGTTATATTCTAAAATGCAGTTTTATACATGGTACAATCCATTAAATAGGTCAAGAACACAAAGACTAAAAGAAATAGGACAATAAAAATATCAAGTACTAAAATTCATAAATCTTAATGTTTAAAGCTTGATTCAAGAAGTAAATATTGTCAGGGGCAGTCCAGGGCATAACATTTACTTTTGGACTCTGCCAAATTTAAATGCCTTCAATTTACTCAATGAGAAATATATACAGCCCTGTGGAAGAAAAGTGGGCCATAAATCTTAAAAAATGACATAAAAATCTAGAATTATGAAAGGTGGAAATTTTTATTAAATACAAATAAATTAAGAGTTCCATATATTCTAGAGCTAAAAGTTGAAGGTGAATATTAACTGTTAAGCCCATTCTACACTGGCAATTCCCAAGATTTTGCAGTGATCACATTTTAGTGATGACTCCATAAAAGAGGAGGGGAGCAATCTATATATTAAAAACATAAATTAATATATATGTGTAAACTCAGTGTAGCTATGAAAAGAAATTTCACAAAGGAATTTTTATTGGGATACCCATATCCATTTTCCACTTTTCCCTAATATTCATCTTTCATATTCAATAATTAATTAACTTACGCAAAATTGCCAGTAAATTGGAAAATACATTCTCTCTGAAGTCCACATGGGAAATGATAACTTCGTTTACATCGGGGTGCAACACATCCAATTGAAGCACCAGTCTTCTTGCAAATACAGCATTTCTAGAAGAAAATGTGAAAAGAGAAGTCATAACATACAAAAGCTCAATACTATAATATGACCCCAGGTATAAATGAATACTCCTTGTAGGGAGGCTGAAAATTTTCATCTTACAACAGTTATGATGATGATATATAAAGCGATTTCCTGAAAAATGTTCTACCCAGAAACAATCTAAGCCACTAAAGATTCACTCCTGTAACAATTTTTCATAAAAGATTCATCTCCCATCTAACATGTGGATGAGACAGAGAAGCTTCTTTTCCTTTCTACCTGGCTAAAGTACTTTCAGCTGAAGGGTTCATAAACATAATGGCTATACCTTAAAGTCTCAAATCTCGGGCGCCTGGGTGGCTCAGTTGGTTAAGAGTATGACTTGATTTTGGCTCAGGTCATGACCTCAAAGTACATGGAGTCATGCCCCATGTCAGGCTCTGTGCTGACAGCGTGGGAATGCTTGGGATTCTCTCTGCCAATCCCCAGTCGGCCTCTCAAAATAAACATACATTAAAAAAAAGAGTTTCAAATCTCAATAGAAAACACATAACTAGGAAATATTCATCAAGGAAAACAGTAGAACAATCCTAGAAACCAATCTGTAAAAAAAAATTTAAAAAAAAATCTGCAATGATCAATCACTCTATCCTAACTAATTGAAAAAGTGTTAGATACCCAAAATAGTTACATAGTGACCTTCCCCCAACAAGATATGTTCAATTCCTAATTCCTGGTACTATGAATGTTACCTTAATTGGAAATAGGGTCTTTGTACATGTAAGTAAGTTAAAGATCTCAAAATGAAACCATCCTTGATTTAGGATGGTTCCCAAACCAAAGGACTTGTGTTCTTGTAAATAAAAGGAGAGGGACATTTAAGACACAGACACACAGAGGGGAAGGACATGTGAACATATGAAGCTGGGAACAGAGACAGGAGTTACGCTGCCAAAAAACCAAGGAATGCCAGCAGCCACCAGTAGCTGGGAATGAAGCATGGAAGGGATTCTCCCTGAGTTCCCTGAAAAAAATCAATCCTTCTGACAGTTTGATAAGAAATTTCTGGTCTCCAGAATTGTGAGAACAAATTTCTGTTTTAAGCAACCTAGCTTGCAGCAGTTTTTTATAACAGCCCTAAGGAAACAAATACAATACCACTGCCACAAACTAAAATATAACAGTGGTATATGAACCAAAGACTATTATTAGACAATGCAATCATTAGTAAAATACAGAGCAGTATCTAAAATCTAAAACATCTTGGAACTCGTGAGATAGCCATTATAAAATGGTCACTGATGAAGGAAGTAGATAGTCTCATTGTTACCCCTGAAGTGCCACTATATCACTGGAGAATACCTTGCCAACCTGAGGCTCTTCCAGTAAACCTGACATATGGAACTCTAGCTTAAGCTCACAAATGGAGACAACTCAAGGATCAGGTTATTTTTAAAGGTTCACAATATACTCAGAGAAGATTAAGATGTTTTCAGAAAACAGTTATTTCCAACTGCAAGGAGACCCTTTCAGGTCATCTTCCACCACAAGTCCACCATCATCAGAAGGCTGAGGAATTCTGATACTAATACTCTCACATAGTCTTTAGTTAAATGCCACTGCTTACCTTTCACCCAAGGTTTTCTCTTATGCCCTAAAGTTCTATTCTAACATCCAGTCCCCTGCATGCTCAACATCTTCAAAAATAATTGCGTGGGGTTTTTTGTTTTGTTTTGTTTTGTTTTTTTGGCCTCAATTAAAATAAAGGTCTTGCTTTCCTTACAGAGTTCTTAGATGAAATTACTTACTTTCTCATCTTTCATTTTCATCCAGACTTGGCAAGGGATGGGAGGAGGATACAGAAAAAGGCAAGGGGGAAATCAAAACATTATTTTAGTTCTCTATTACAAACTATAAGCCACAATTCTCCCTTCATACTTTTTTTTCACCATTTATTTCCTCTTAAATAGTTTATTGTCAAGTTGGTTTCCATATAACACCCAGTGCTCATCCCAACAAGTGCCCTCCTCTGTGCCTATCACCCTCCTTCCCCTCTACCCCACCCCCATCAGCCCTCAGTTTGTTCTCAGCATTCAAGAGTCTCTGATGGTTTGTCTCCCTCCCTCTCCCCAACTATTTTCCCCCTTCTTCTCCCCCATGGTCCTCCGTTAAGTTCCTCCTAATCCACCTATATGTGCAAACATATGGTATCTGTCCTTCTCTGCCTGACTTATTTGATCAGCATAACACCCTCAAGTTCCATCCACGTTGCTACACGTTGCTACACATGGCCAGATTTCATTCTTTCTCATTGCCATGTAGTATTCCATGGTATAGATAAACTCCATCTTCTTGATCCATTCGTCCGTTGATGGTCACTTAGGCGCTTTCCATATTTTGGCTATTGTGGAGAGTGCTGCTATGAACATTGGGGTCCATGTGCCCCTGTGCATCAGCACTCCTGTATACCTTGGGTAAATTCCTAGCAGTGCTACTGCTGGGTCATAGGGGAGTTCTATTGTTAACTTTTTGAGGAACCTCCACACTGTTTTCCAGAGGGGCTGCACCAATTTACATTCCTACCAACAGTGTAGGAGGGTGCCCGTTTCTCCACATCATCACCAGCATCTAGAGTCCCCTGATTTGTTCATTTTAGCCCCTCTGACTGGCGTGAGGTGGAATCTCAGTGTGGTTTTGATTTGTATTTCCCTGATGAGGAGGGACGCTGAGCATCGTTTCATGTGTCTGTTGGCCATCTGGATGTCCTCTTTGGAGAAGTGTCTGTTCATGTCTTCTGACCATTTCTTCACTGGATTATTTGTTTTTCAGGTGTGGAGTTTGATGAGTTCCTTATAGATATTGGATACTAGCCCTTTATCTGATATGTCAATTGCAACTATCTTTTCCCATTCCGTCAGTTGCCTTTAGTTTTGATTGTTTCCTTTGCCGTACAGAAGCTTTTTATCTTGATTTTTGCTCTTGATCCCTTGCCTTTGGGAATGTGTCAAGAAATTGCTGTGGTTGAGGTCAAGGAGGGTGTTTCCTGCTTTCTCCTCTAGGGTTTTAATGGTTTCCTATCTCACATTCAGGTCCTTTATCCATTTTAAATTTATTTTTGTGTATGGTGTGAGAAAATGATCTAGTTTCATTCTTCTGCATGTTGCTGTCCAGTTCTCCCAGCACCATCTGTTAAAGAGGCTGTCTTTTTCCACTGGATACTCTTTCCCTCCTTGTCAAAGATTAGTTGGCCGTACATTTGTGGGTCCAATTCTGAGTTCTCTATTCTATTCCATTGGTTTATGTCTGTTTTTATACCAATACCATGCTATCTTGATGATTACAGCTTTGTCGCAGAGGCTAAAGTCTGGGATGCTGATGCCTCCCGCTTTGGTTTTCTTCTTCAATATTACTTTGGCTATTTGGGGTCTTTTGTAGTTCCATACAAATTTGAGGATAGTTTGTTCTAGTTTTGAGAAGAATGCTGGTGCAATTTTGATTGGGATTGCATTGAATGTGTAGATTGCTTTGGGTAGTAGTGACATTTTAACAATATTTATTCTTTCCATCCATGAGCATGGAATGTTTTACCATTTCTTTGTGTCTTCTTCCATTTCCTTCATAAGTTTTCTATAGTTTTCATCATACAGATTTCCTATACCTTTGGTTAGGTTTATTCCTAGGTATTTTTTGGCTTTTTGTGCAATTGTAAATGGGATCAGTTTCTTGATTTCTCTTTTTGTTGCTTCATTATCGGTGTACAAAAATGCAACCAATTTCTGTACTTTGATTTTGTATCCAGAAACTTTGCTGAATTCATCGATCAGCTCTAGTAGGCTTCTGGTGGAGACTTTCGGGTTTTCTATATAGAGTATCATGTTGTTTGTGAAAAGTGAAAGTTTGCTTCTTTGCCAATTCTGATGCCTTCGATTTCCTTTTGCTGTCTGATGGCTGATGCTAGGACTTCCAGCACTATGTTAAACAACAGTGGTGAGAGTGGACATCCCTGTCGTGTTCCTGATCTCAGGGGGAAAGTTCTCAGTTTTTCCCCATTGAGGATGATTTTAGCTGAGGGCTTCTCATAGATGGCTTTTATGATGTTAAAGTAATTTCCTTCTATTCCGACTTTCTCTAGAATCTTTATTAAGAAGGGATGCTGGGGCGCCTGGGTGGCTTAGTCGGTTAAGCGTCCGACTTTCGCTTAGGTCATGATCTCGCGGTTCATGGGGTTGGGCCCCGCGTCGGGCTCTGTGCTGACTGCCAGCCCAGAGCCTGGAGCCTGTTTCAGAGTCTGTGTCTCCCTCTCTCTCTGACCCTCCCCTGTTCACTCTCTCTCTCTCTATCCTAGAAATAAATAAAAATATTAAAAAAAAAAAAAAAGAAGGGATGCTGTATTTTGTCAAATGCTTTTTCTGCATCTATTGACAGGATAATATGGTTTTTATCTTTTCTTTTGTTAATGTGATGTATCACATTGATTGATTTGCGAATACTGAACCAGCCCCGTAACCCAGGAATGAATCCCACTTGATCATGGTGGACAATTCTTTTTACATGCTGTTACATTTGATTTGCAAATATCTTGTTGAGGATTTTTTGCATCCGTAGTCATCAAGGATATTGGCCTGTAGTTCAAATGCTATAAAAAATTATGCTAACAAACTGGACAACTTAGAAGAAATGGACACATTCCTAAGCACAGATACACACACACACTACCAAAATTCACACAGGAAGAGACTGAAAATCTGAATAGACCCGTAACTAGTGAAGAAATTTTATCAGTTATCGAAAATCTCCCAACAAATAAGAGCCCTGGGTCAGATGGCTTCCCTGGGGAAATCTATCAGACATTTAAAACAGAGTTAATATCCATTCTTCTCAAGCTATTCCAAAAAATAGAAATCAAAGGAAAACTTCTGGACTCATTCTACGAAGCCAGCATCACTTTGATTCCGAAGCCAGACAGAGACCCAGCAAAAAAGAGAACTACAGGCCAATATCCTTGATGAATACGGATGCAAAAATCCTCAACAAGATACTTGCAAATCGAATCCAACAGCACATAAAAAGACTATCCACCATGATCAAGTGGGATTCATTCCTGGGTTACAGGGCTGGTTCAATATTTGCAAATCAATCAAAGTGATACATCACATTAACAAAAAAAAAGATAAAAAACATATGATCCTATCAATAGATGCAGAAAAAGCATCTGACAAAATACAGCATCCCTTCTTAATAAAGACCATCACGAAAGTCGGGATAGAAGGAACTTACCTAAACATCCTTTCATTTAAAAAAAACAAAAAAAAAAAAAACTGGTTCTTTGAGCCTAATGACATCTACGCTCTGTCACCTACTTCTTCCACCTTGAGACTTTGGCACCTTTCTCTGTATCTTAATTCTTCCTATCATTGTAAACAACTTCTACACTGATAGACAACCTTTCTTCGACTTCTTCAACTATGATGATGTGTCAATGCCCTTCATTTCTACTTCAGTGAGATGAATATTCTCATCACCTAAAACTGCTTCATCACAGAAATCATCAGTTCCAGTTATCATTTCCTCTGGGCAAAATTCCCTATACTTCTAGCCTTCTCATTTTCTTTTTTTCCTCACTTTTTAAAAAAATGTTTATTTTTTTTTAATTTTTCTTTTATGTATTATTTCTGTGAGAGAGAGAGAGAGAGAGAGAGAGAGAAACAGCATGAACAGAGGAGGGTCAGAGAGAGGGAGATACAGAATCTGAAACAGGCTCCAGGCTCTGAGCTAGCTGTCAGCACAGAGCCTGACGCGGGGCTCGAACCCACAAATCGTGAGATCATTACCAGAGCCGAAGTCAGACGCTTAACCGACTGAGCCACCCAGGCGCCCCTCTCACTTATTTCTTTAACTTTCTCATTTTCTAATTCTCATTATTTCTACTCAGACCTCACAGAAACCTGTAATTCTTTCTTTGTGTTTAACATAGTAGGTATCATACAGAAGATTCACAACTGTAATTAAATGAACAAGGGGTTAAAAGTTTAGAATACATACTTATTTTGGAGAACATGAGAAGGAAATGAACAAAGGAACAAAGGTACATAATGTCACAGAATGGCCACAGAGGTGTAGAGATCATAAATTACTGGTCTGCCCAGTTGTATAATTTCCACCTCAATCCATCATGCCAACTCAGTAACTGAAGTAGAGGAATGAAAAGTGAATGGCTGGGTTGACTCAGGATTAAAGATTTGAAGAATAACATAGCAGAAGTACGTTCATAATTCTGATAGTTAAGAGTGGGTGAAATCATGGATAGGGTGGCATAAAAGGACGTGAAATTATATATATAATATATATAATTATCATATACATTATTCAGGGTTAGTTAACCTCTCTTTCATTTGCAAATATACAAAGTGTTCTATTAAAATTTACTGTATTTGACAAAAATAAGCATTTGAACACAAAATCACAGTCTTATAAATTTCCATTTGGGAAACTGATGGAAAAAAAAAACCCTCTCCAGTTGACCATATTTATAGTATATAGTGTAAAGATTAAAAGAGTTTACTTACCAGTTTAGAAGCTCTGTTCACTTCTTTCCTGATGTCTTCTATTAGAAAACCGTACACTCCTTCTTCTTCTTTACCTCTCTGCCAAATTCCACTTGACATCAACTATAAATATATTCTCAATTAGAAAATAGACTCTAAGAAACTAGTTTAGAAATATACATACGTATATATAGGAAGTATGTGTGTACATACATACACATATATGTATATATACATGTATGTAAATGTGTGTACATATATAAACACACATATATTTGTGTATGTATGCATATATAGATAAGACAGATTACGTTCCAATGAAAAAATGGACATAACTCAAATTTCAAGCACCTCTTATCTGTAACAATTATTTTTGATGGTCAAAATAAGAGGCTACTCATATTCCTTGATTTGGAAGACATTGTATATTAATAGTTCATGTAACCATACTGGTTTCTAAAAGCATTCCAGGAAATAATAGAAAAAGGAAGAAAGAAAGGAAGGCAGAAAGCACCTGTTTTAGAAAAAATAGTGGTAAATACTGAAAGGTGTAATGGTGGTATCAGTAAATGTTACAGAGACAATTCAGTTTATCAGTGGTATTTCAGGCCAACTTTCAATCTAGCTGGATTCTGAATCACAAAGGGATATTTACAGAGAAACCTAGTAAATCATGGTTAACACAAATGTTTGAATTTTTAAAAATCTTTTGACTTCAGTTTAAATATGTTTAGGAAACATGATTAAAGAAAATGCATGGGACTGTGAATAAGAAATCCTGGCCTGTAAACCAGGTTCTGTGTCCTGGAACTTTCTAGTACTCGAGGCAAATAATTTAATGTCTCTGACCTTAAACATAAAAATAAAAACACTGGACTAGGTGGTCTCTAAGTCTCTTCCAACTCTAACATTCCATTACCATTTATAACATTACTGTACTTTCCTGGTCACAATGAAATAGAATTTTTTACATGTTGATCCTTGGGTGAGTATGTTTTGAATTATTATACTCATTAATGAAAAACAATATAAAGGACATTTTCATAAAATTAAATATATTAAATAATCCAAAAATACCTTAAATTTGTGACTAGAGGATTACTTTAATCAATATAATATATTCTAGAGAAAACCAAAAAAATACACATTTCTTAAGAATTGGTTATGGGGGCACCTGGATGGCTCAGAAAGTTAAGCTTTGGACTCCTGGTTTTGGCTCAGATCATGATCTCATGGTTGTGAGATTGAGCCCTGCATTGGGCTCTGTGCTAAGCATGGAAGCTGCTTGGGATTCTCTCCTCCCCTCTCTCTCCCCCCCTACCCAACTCATGTGCTCTCTCTCTCACTCTCTCAAAATAAACTTAAGAAAAATTAAAAAACAAAAACAATAGATTATGAAAAAATAACCCAATGACTAATTCTTCTGCATACAAAGTAAAATAAACTCTCAGAAAAATGAAAAGGTTTTCTTTGGTGATACAAAATGTAAGGCTCCCAACTTAACAAATAAATTTGTAATGCGAAATTCGCGTTCCCTTAAATCTTGGTACAAAGTAATTAGGTCCAGTCCAGAAGTCTATTTAACCCATAGGGTACCTGAGACACAACACTATAGTCTGAGAGAACCACCAAAAAATATGTTAGATGGTTTCTCAAGGAAGTACCTAGAGTTTTAACATGGATGCTGGGTTGAATATGAAAATAGACCTATAAATTTATTGATACTCCTTCTAAGAGATGAAGCCTCATTACCTTCGCCTTGAATGTGGGCTAAACTTAACTCACTTCTAACAAAGAGAATAAAGTAAAAGTGACAGTGGTATGGGACAGTGAAGACTAGGTCATACGGTTCTATCCTGATGCATAGCTTTCTCTCTCTCTCTCATCATTTGCTCTAGAAGAAGTCAGATGCCATGCTGTGAGTACCCTGCTGAGGTACCCCGGAGGTACCTCAGAAAGGAACTGAGCCTTCCTGCCAACAGGTAGAAAGTATTAAGGCCAAAAGCCATGTAAAGTGAGCCATCAGAGGAGGATCCTCCACCCCATCCAGCCTTTAAATGACTGAACGCTGGCTGACATCTCAATTGCAACCTCATTAGATCCCCTGAAGCAGAACTACCCAAATCAGCCAATACCAGATTCCTGATCCTCAAAAAGTGTTTTGAGATAATAACTGTTTAAGCTGCTAAATTTCAGGATAATTTGTTAAGAAACAATATATAACTCATATAGTATCAAGAAATATTGTGTCTACTGATGCAACCTTGGCACGAAGGCAGTGATGGTGCCATTAATATCTTAAGACACAGATTCAGTGAGGTGAGAAGTCAGTAGAGGGAAGGGGAAACAAATGAGAGACCCATTCTCAGTATGAAATCACTTTCTCTTTCTTCCAAGTAACTCATAAACTCACCTATTTCCTCTTCCACAAGTATTTATTACTTTTATTCAGAACTTTTTTTTGCAGGTTCTTTTTGAAATAATATACTTTCCTTCTATTCCCTGAACCTTCAAACAACTCTTTTCTGAGATTTATCACTTGCAACAATGGAAACAAGAAAGTGAAAAAAAAAGATAAATCCCTTAGAGACCTAAACATTTTCTCCTTTATTCACTTAGTCCCTAAAGGGTTAGACAAAAATAAACAGATAATGATGACAGGTCTTCCTTCATACATACCAACTAATTTCAGAATCTTAGAATTTGATAAATGAAAAACCTTATTTTACATATAGGCAAAATGAGATCCAAAGAAGTTAAATGACTTATCCAATTCTCAGAAACCATCCATCAAGATCTAATTGTCTTCTTTAGAAGAATATCAAATTTCCAGGATTTAATTATAAATTATACTCACCAAACAATAGTAATGTACAGTGAGATTCCATTTCTCATTAGTTTTCTTTTCTCCATATTTATTAGGACAGTCATCATTTTTTCGACAAAAAACACAAGCTAACAGTGAAAAAAGTAAATAGATATAAAAATATTTTTAAATTTTTAAAATAAAACCTATGGAATTGGAGCTTCTCTCAAGTGAGGTGTTCATTTTTTTCTGAGAGAGCAAATCACATTATATTATTATCAGTAACTTAAAATTTCTAACACCTATTTCTAAAACAATAAACATCATTGTTTTAGACTTTGCATTTTTAAAATTAATCTTTAATGAATTCCAGTGTGTCGTTAAAATGGCAACTTGTAGGGTAATATCACTGACAGTAACAGATGAGGAAACTCCAAAACACTACCTCCCCATAAAAGCAACAATTAAGCTGCCAAAAACTGTCAGAATCAACCTTTTAGAAACTCTGAAATCTAGTTTTAAAACTTACAACAATTAGGAGAATGCTCAATAAAGAAACAAGCTGGTAAATTCTGATGAGCACTTTGTGGCATTTTAACTTACCTGCCTACCATCCCCCACTCTCCAGCTGAGCAATGGCCTTAGGAACGATGGCCCATGTTCCAGGTTTGGATTGTCCAGGAGGAGTTAAAATAAACCTTGTTCTTAAAGAAATGTGATTTTATGTTTTGATCTGTGTTGCGGATCCCTGAGGATGGGCTCAGATGTATGCCCTTGTTTTGCCTGCCTCAGAGCTTTCTCAGGGCTGGAGTCTGACCATTTGTCAAAGGCGCTTAAGACAAATATACTAGATGAAGCAGCTTGCAGCAAAGGGTAACAGACAGGACAAGCAGGTAACAAACCAAAACACCTATAAAAGAAGAGGCTGGGAAAAGGGGACACATGGATAAATGGGGGCTTTGAAAAGCTCCCACAGATACCTGGGAATTCAGAAAGATAAACACATGCTCAGGGCTAGATACATGCTCAGAAAAAAACCCAGAAACCCTAAGCTTTCACCTCTAGCCGATCTTTATGTAAGCCAATATGAAAAAACAAAGACACCAAATCAGTAACAATTTTAACCTTAAAGAACTAGAAAAATAACACATTAAACCAAAAGCTGGCAGAAGGAAGAAAAAAATAAAGATTACAGCATAAATAAATGAAATAGAAAAACTGGAGAGAATAAAAATCAAAGTGGATTCTTTGAAAAGGTCAACAAAACAAAACTTTAGTTAGACTGATCTAGAAAAAAAGAAAGGAAATTCAAAACTTAGGAAAAAGCCACAGAAGTCAAAACAATGTTGTAGTGAAGGACAATGATACACATCAATGGGGGAAAAAAGAGTCCAGAAATAAACCTATATATGTATCTATGGTCAATTAATTTTGAACAAGGATACCAAAATCATTCATTGGAGGAAAGAACAGTTTTCAACAGATGGTACTAGGACAACTTGATAGCCACATGGAAGATAATACAACTGAACTCCTCCCTGACACCACATATAAAAATTAAAATTAAATCAAAATAGATCAAAGACCTAAATGTAAGCACCAACACTAAACTCTTAGGAGAAAATACAGGGTAAATCTTTATAACCCTGGATTGGCAGTGGTTTCTTAGGGATCACATGCTACCAAAAGCAAAAGTAAAAAAGAAAAAATAGATAAACTGGACTTCATCTAAGTTTTAAACTTTTGTGCATCAAGGAACACTAAAGAGAGTAGAAAGACCACCTACAAAATAGGAGAATATATTTAGAAACATATACCTCGTAAGGGTCTAAGGTCCAGAATGCATAATAAGAAATCTTATAACTCAACAACAAAAACAAAAGCAACTTAAAAATGGAGCAAATGATCTGAATAAACATTTTTCGATGATATATAGCCAATAAGCACGTTAAAAGAAGTTTAATATCCTGACATCAGGGAAATGCAAATCAAAACCACAAAGAGATACCACTTCACATCTACTAGGATGGTTACAATCAAAATGTCAAAAAATAACAAATGTTGGCAAGGATCTGGAAAAATAGGAACCCTAATATGCTGCTGGTGGAAATGTAAAATGGTACAGCGACTTAGGAATAATAATTTGACAGTTCCTTAAAATCTTGAACATAGTTACCATATGAAACAACAATTCTACTCCTGGGTACATATGCCAAACAAATGAAAATGGATGTTTAAACAAATACACTTGTATACTAATATTTATAGCAGCACTATTCTCAAGAGCTACAAAAGGGAAAACAAATGTGCATCAATGAATGGATGAATGAATAAATTAATACATTACATCCATACAATGGAATATTATTCAGCTATAAAAAGGAATGATGCTCTAATATACACTGCAACCTGGATAAGCCTAGAAACATCATGCTAAATAAAAGAAGCTAAGTGCAAAAGGTCATATACTATACGAATTCATTAATACAACAGATTACATTATCCAGAATAGGTAAACCCACAATTGCCCAAAAAGCAGATTGGTGGTTTCCAGGGGCAAAGGAGAAGGGAAATGAAAAGTAACTGCCAAACCTGTCTCTTTTGGGGATGATGAAAATGTTCTGGAACTAGATAGTGGTGATGGCTGTACAATACTGTGAATGTACTAAATGCCACCAAATTGTATACTTTAAAATAGTTACGTGTATTTTGTGTTATGCAAATTTTACCTTAACAATAGTAATTGTTTACTGTAACAATAATAATTTCATAAAGGCAAATTGTAAAGCCAAGGAGACTGGAGTTAAATTTCAGCACCACACTCCTGCTATGTAATCTTGGACAAGTCACAAAAGCACTTTATGGCTCTGTTTCTTCATCTTAAAAATGAGGACAAGAGTACTTACCTCAAACTATGCCTTAATAAGGATTAAATGAGATAGTATACTATAATTAAAAGGGTGTGGCAGCTAGATAGAACTGAATAAATATTAGTACTATATCAAACATTTCTACCTTATATTTACTTGTACAGAAAATTTCTAATAACATACTAATAACATGATGAGAAAACCACCAGCTGAAGAGAAAAGACACTGAGAATCTCAAGGTAGCTGATCAGTTTAAGATGAAAGGAGCCTGAATCTCTTAAGTGATTGCATGGAGCAGAAACTCCCTATCTGTTCCAACTCCCCTAACCAATTCACAACGGATTGTAATATAACCAAATACTAAAGTTTTGTTGTTAAACCAGTAAGACTTCAGTTTTTACCTATTATAGCAACTAGTCTTATTTACCCTTAACTAACACATGTAATTAAGAATGGATGCTATGCATTGAAATGGTACTACATTTGGGGCACCTGGGTGGCTCAATCAGTTAAGTGTCCAACTTTGGCTCAGGACACGATCTCACTGTTTTTGAGTTCGAGCCCCATGTCAGGCTCTATACTAACAGCTCAGAGCCTGGAGACTGCTTCAGATTCTGTGACTACCTCTCTCTCTGCCTCTCCCCTGCTCACACACTCTCTTTCTCGCTCTCAAAAATAAATAAAATAGTTTTAAAAAATAAGAAAAATGAAAAGCTTCATTACTTATTGAAGAACTATATCAAAAATGTTTTAAAAAGAGCATTCCTGTCTACTTGAGAGCATATTATGTTTTATTTCCAGACAAATATGGGGAAAACACAGATGGGCTCCAACTTATTGATCCATTAAATTCAGAGAGAGACAGAGAGACAAAGAAATGGTACTACGTTTAACAGCTACTCACAAAACAGATCCCAAGACTGGAAAAAAATAAAACATCATGAGCTAATATTTAATATTACAAAATACCCCCCCCATATCTGCCCTCCCTCACTACAGGTTAATGAGATAAGCCATAACTAAAAGCCCTTTCCTAAATCTTTCAAAAGATTTCAACTCTCCTTCTTTCCTTTTACAGAGTAACTGACCACATCAACTCCAGCAAATTGCAATCTGTTTACTGGACACCTTAACACCAGCAGCTCTCATCCCCCGTACCTATACTTCTAGCTGTTAAGTGTGCATGCACCTATCAAAAGGAAGAGAAATACAAGGAATGAGCTGAGACTACAGAATGAGAGTCTTCATGATGAGCATTGGATGGAGCTGCATTTGCCATGATACCATGGACCTGTCGCTTTCCTTCTGTACCCTTCCTCCCTTCACCCAGTATATGGAGACACTGGATGTAGAACACACCAAGTTTTCAGGCATGCATTTTTATCCAAAGATTGCTTTTGTTTGTATTTGTACTTTGTTGTTTTTTAATTTTAACATTTAAAATTCAGTAACAGTGTTCTTTCTGACTTCACTGTATTAAGATCACCTTCTAACTATAGCAAATGATACTGGCTGAATTAAAATAATGAAATAAACATATTCAGATAAGTAAAAAACAGAGTCAATCTTAGGAAAACTATTAAGTAAATAACAGTAAAGGCAGTATTTGCAGTTTACAAATTCATGAAGGTAAGTCCATGAATTACTAAGTTTCATAACAATTAACATAGTTGATAGAAGTCTGTAGGTAAAAGCAAAAAAGCAAAGTAGAGGGAGGATTAAGACCACAAATTTCCTTACCAACCATGAAGGTGGAGTTAACAGACACACTCTATTAGTGATGGTCAAGATAGACTTTTAAGTATAACATTTTAATTTAAGAGGACATCAAAAATTAAATCTTACAAAGAGTAAATGAGTGGAGTAGTGGCCGAAGAGAATAAGTTAAATTTCTCATTTAGCCAATCAATATATTACTGTTTAAACTAATAAATGAAGAACTCAACAACCAAAAGCAAAGGTATGCATCTATCTGAGACTGTTATGAGCACCTAATGATAAGTTTTCCTTTTCACGTTAGGTTTGTGTAGTGTTTAAAATGGTCTCACCCACATTTTTCCTTTTCTAAGAAAAAGTTATACAAAAAAGATGAAAGAATGGTTTATTAAATAATGCTGTTTTATTCAGATAAAAAGCATATCTGATAAATACATATAAAAATATGAATAAAGTATGGCAACTGTTATCTTACAGTAGATTCTTGTTGAAAGGAAAACACACGGATATTATATTTTAGTATATGGATATATGAACAAAGCATGGACTAAGGAACTCATTCCTATTTTGAGTCAGCACTCTAAAAAGTTTTAATATAATAAAAAGGCAAGAGTAAAATATCTTAATATTTTCAATTATATTTGAAAATGTTTTAAATATTTTACTTACCAAGATTCTGTGAAGCACCAAGTTTATTTTCATTCATTTTACTAGGAAAAATAAGAACATAACAATATAAGCCATCTTAATTTTTAAAGTTTCAGATTACCCACTTTAATAAAATTTAGTCACTGCTCAATTACAAATAAGTTGCATAATCATTTCTTTCTCTAGTACTTAATTTCCTTACCTTTCACACATCTAAACTCACTAGTTTTAACAAGCATGGCTAAGTTTGAGAACATTATTAAAATTGGAGGGCATGTTTTTTAGTTGTCAAAAAGATTAAGATGACTACTGCCTTTTTTTAGTGGAAAGCGGTGAGGATTGCAGGATGTCCTGTAATGTACAAAAAAGACCTACATAACAGTCTAGACTTTCAAATTTCCAGCTGGAGCTCTGAACAGGTTAAAAAAAAAAAAACTTAAATTACATTAACCTAGAATCTAAGCCCATTTGACATAAAGTCTTTTTTTCCTTCCTTTTTTAGAATAAAATGAATTATTTCCAAACTACAACTCCTATTAAATCAAGAAACTTGTATTTTATTTTTGTTCCTAACTTTACTAAGAGCTGCTCACTACGTAGGAAAAAAGTCACACCATCAGTAGCAATGCCATTCACATTTGAGTAGCCTCCAAAACAATCCTTTATCAGGCTACATTTGTCACTTGGATTTGCAGGGAGTGTATACAGAGCTCTAAGCATCTGACTGCCATTTCACATCTAGTAAAACATTCAACCATGTACATACTGAAAGACATTGATCTGCCTCTATCTCCTCACTCCTCCCTAGTTAACAAAGTTACTTATATTCATTACTGAAACATTCCTTTTCTAACTTTTCTCTAGTTCCAAAAGATCAAATAGAGGAAGAACGTTATCTTACCATCAAAATTTCACTTTACCAAAAATATATAACTTAGCTTACTTAAAATGTTATGAGATTCAAGTACATAATGTATGTGTAAATTCTTGGAATTTAAGTAGAAAAGAATAACTTAAAATGCTTAGTACTAAGTAAATGCAATCTCACTTTACAATAAATATTCAAACCAATGCTTACAGAAGTTGAATAGCTGTCCAAAGCCACAGAGCTCATAAGTGGGAATAGGCTAACCCATAACTGGGTAACTATGCCACTTCACATGAAAAAAATAAAAGAGCACAGTAAATAACATGGAACATAAAATACCAAACGAAGGACAAAAATACCCACAAATATTACTATCAATTTCCATCAATGCTTTTTTACAAATTAGAATTTGTATTTCATACTGATTTTAAGAATTGTTTTGGGTTTAAACACTGATTTTCTTATATAAAAGTTCACTTTTGTGTTTTTATAAAAAGTCATAGTCCAAATAGTTTGGATCATTTTGTCTTCAAGCCTTCAATATTTCCTGGTTCTTCCTTACAAAATCATCTGTGCTGTCAAAATTGGTATTTCTTCAAAGAATCCATAAAACAAAAGAGCCCCACATTGACCAAGCTTTACCAATTAAGTAGGTCCAGGCTACCTTTCCCATTTCCTCCCCATAGCATCAATGTAATGCTAAAGGAGTATTTTAGTGTTTTCTAGACTCTTTTAGAGACATGGATCACACTCTTTACGTATATTGACAATACTTTTTAAAATTATTTTTTTAATGTTTACTTATTTTTGAGAGAGAGAGACCACAAGCAAGGGAGGGGCAGAGAGAAAGGGAGACACAGAATCCAAAGCAGGCTCCAGGCTCTGAGCTGTCAGCACCGAGCCAGACAGATGCGGGGCTGGAAGTCATGAGCCATGAGTTCATGACCTGGCCAAAGTCAGACACTTAACTGACTGAGTCACCCAGGCACTCCAACACATTTTTTTTATTATTTTGTGAGAGAGAAGGAGCATGGGGGAGGGGCAGAGAGAGGGAAGAGAATCCGAAGGCTCCAAGCTGCCAATATAGAGCTCCACGCAGGGCTCGATCTCATGAACCTGAGCCAAAACCAAAAGAAGCTTAACTGACTGAGCCATCTAGATATCCCAACATTTTTTATGTTTATACATGTTCATGCAATGTATGCAGACTGCCCCATGGGCCAAAACTGAAAGAGGATCATAACCTAATTTTAAAACATGTTAAAAGGTGCATGGGGGAAGGGGTTCATCTTAAAATTGATGAAATACAACAGGAACATAAAATGCCTCTCTTCTCAGGACTTCTTTATAATTCAGCTTCTGATGTGAATTCTGCTTATCATAAATCCATTCATACATAAGAATCTATTGCAGAAAAGTCCATAAACACATAACAGTAGTTCAGTTAGAATAAACATAAAAATTTTAATTTATAAATGATGTTTAGTCAATATCCAACAACACAGGTTTACATTTGGGAGTCACTCTCCTCTGTGGGTAAAGTGAATCTATGTTTTACTTTTAGATTTATTGTAATTGAGAATAATGACCAAGGTCCACAATACACCTATAATAATGATATTTTAAATTCTCTTAATGACCTTAATGCAAATATTAATCACATATTACTCTGTATTAGGTTTACTTCAATTCTTTTTAATTCTTCAGCTATACTGGCAAGTGCCCTGAGGGCAAAATTCCCACACCATTCAGCACAGTGCTAATAAATATTTGAATATGACTGATACATATCTGAGAGATACTGATAATATGGGCAAGGTTCTAGACTAAGTCTTCTAAGTGGCTACATCTTCTCCTTTTTCCTTTCCCACTACAAAGACCCAGAGCATCTCTTGATGGACAGTGTGATGGAAGTTCTGCCTAGATCTTTATACACACTTAAAGTATGTTACCTTAAAAAAAAAAAAAAAAGGTATCCGAACTTTTTTTTTGTTAATTACTAGTCTCAGAACTCTACACTAAACAATAGCTTTCTCATAGTTACAAATAAATATAAGAATTAAAAGTGAACATCAGTCTCACATGACATAAAAAAGTACGGAAGTATGTAGAGAACCATGCTGAAAAGCATCCAACAGTCATTGGCTATACACTGATCTTAAGAAAGAGCTCCTGGAACTCTTGAGTGGCTCAGTCTGTTAAGTGTCCAACTCTGATTTTGACTCAGGTCATGATCTCACAGTTTTTAAGTTTGAGCCCCAAATCAGACTCTGCGCTGACAGCGCGAAGCCTGCTTAGGAGTCTAACCCTCTCGCTCTCTGCCCCACCCTGGCTCACTTTCTCCCTCTCTCTCTCAAAATAAATAAATAAATGTTTTAGAACAGTAACAAGTTATATTTCATCAAAATTAAAAGCTTACACTCATCAAAAGATACAGTTAAGAAAGTAAATATGCATGCCACAGACTGAAAGTATTTGTAAAAGCTGTGTCTGACAAAGACTTGTACTGAGAATACATAAAGAACTACAACTCAACAAATATAAAGCAAACAATCCAGTTAAAAAAATGAGCTAAATACATGTTAATAAACATATGAAAAGATGTTCAACATCATTTGTAATTAGATTAATAAAGATTAAAAACAAGGGCACCTGGCTGGCTCAGTCTGTAAAGCATGCAACTCTTGATCTCAGAGTTCTAAGTTCAAGCCCCACATTGGGTGTAGAGATTACTTAAAAACAAAATCTTAAAATAAAAATTAAAGCCACTATGACAGACCACTTCATACCTATAATAATGACTAAGATTAGAAAGACTAGCAACATCAAACACTGGAAAGGATATAAATCAACTAAGAAATTTACATAAATTGTTGATGGAAATATAAAATGAAACTTTTCATTTTTAAAAGTTTCAGCACCTTCTTAAGCATGTACCCATACCCTAGCTTTTGACGCAGGAATTTCACATCTAGTTATCTATTCAAGAGAAATAAAAACATATATAGACAGAAACCTTATGCAACAATGTCATAGCAGCCTTCTTCTCTGATACTCCAAAGCTGGAAACCCACCAGTCCATTACTAAGAAAAGGGATAAACAAACTGCAGTTCATTGATACAATGCAATACTACTTAGCAACAAAAAGGTAAGGAGTGCTGCAAGATGCCAACAAAACAGGTGAACCTTACAGATACTATGCTGAGTGAAAGAAACTACATACCATTCATATCTACATTATTCCATTCATACTAAGTTCTGAGACCAGCAAAATTAATCCACCATGAAAAATATCAGTACAGTGCTTGCCTCTAAAATAAGGAAATGACTAGAGAAGGACATAAGGAAACTTTCACCAAGAGGATCTAAGTAAATAACTTTGATACAGAGAAAAAAGTCTCAATTGCCAACGAAGGTACCAGGCTACAGATAAGGGCTTTCTGAACACATTCCTCCTTTTCTTAATTTTGTAGTTTTCAAGGAAACAACACCTTAAGTCCACTGTGTAGTCCAGATCTGGTGCTGACTCCTTTACACAGAGCCCTGGCTTTGCTTTAACACTGTCAAAACACTACTTCATTGACATTTCACCTAGATGCCAATCTTCTCCAAAATCCTTTAATAAATTTGTTTTACCCTTTGGTGAGAAGTTGATGGTTGAAATCCAATATTATATTAGTTTCACATGTACAGCATAGTGACTTGATATTTACATTACAAAATGCTCATCACGGTAAGTCTAGTTACCATCTCTCAGGATACAAAGCTGTTACAATATTGACTATATTCCCTATGCTGCACTTTTCATCCCCATGACTTAGTAAACAATTAAAATTTGTATCTCAATCCTCTTTACCTATTTTGCCCATTCCCTCCCACACCACTACTGCTCTAGCTACCATCAGTTTGTTCTTTGTATTTATGAGTCTGTTTCTGGTTTTTGGGTTTTATTTCTTTGTTTTGTTTTTTAGATTCCACAAATAAGTGAAATCATATGGTATTTGTCTTTCTTGGTCTAACTTAGTTTGCTTAGTGTATGCCCTCTAGATCCATCTATGTTGTCACAAATGGCAAGAATTCATTTTTTATGGCTGAGTAATATTCTAATGTGTATTTAAACACACAATATCTTCTCTACCTATTTATTTATAGACAGGTTGCTTCTACATCTTTTAAATAATGCAATAAACAGG